ACCTCACGATCTTTTCTCTCTTTCTCTTTCCGTTTACTCTTCTTTCCACCGCCCCCTGCCCTACCCCCTCTCGGGGTAGGCTCAAGCGACGGCACTGAACGTTTCTTTGAATTCAAAAAGATGGCCCTAAATTGCTTGTTAGCTGTCGTGCGCGGCAGGTTCATCTCTGCCAGTGCAGCAAGTCCACTATTGACGTATGTGCGGGCTGTTTTGGCAGCCTGCCACCTACCATAGACCAAGAGGCGGTCTAAACTTCCCCATTTTTGAAAGAAAAACGTGGCTCCCCCTCTGCGGAGGGAGTAAGGGCGAAAGCCCAACTCTTCAAAACCCAGAGCCATGACAGCCTCATTAAAGAGTTGACGCCACTTGGCGGGAGACGGGCAAAGCTGGCTACGAACCTCACATTGTTGGCTCCAAGCATGCAGCCACCGAAGGGGTTCCTCCACAGTCAAGGTGACACTTTCTGAGGCTCCTTGTCGTTTGCCTGCTTTGGTAAGGCCAAGGGAAAGAACCGCAGGTCCTTGTACGGCATGTACGCTAACGTCAGAAGAACAGAGACTGAGTATCTCTCCCGTGCGCAGGGTCCCGTAGAAACCCACGAGGAGGGACAAGCCAAATTTATACTGCTCTTTGAAGAAGGCATATCCTACCATCATCTGAAGTGCCTCCTCTGGTAGTGGTGGCGCCCGATTCGGTATTTCGTTCATGCTCCAGGCCTTGAGGAGCCTCCAGGTGCCGCGAAGATGCCCTTTGACTTGTGGTTGAGCGTCTTGAAGTGCGGCAACGGTATCACTTGCTTGCGCACGTCCAAATCCTTCTGTCCATAGATGTTCTATGTACTGCTGAAGTAACAGGTCAAGGTCGGCGTGATTGTAAGGCACTGCTCGGCCTTCATCTCTGAGGAATGCCCAAAAACCTTCTAGTGCTCTGTTGTATCGTTCCCTAGTGCGCGGCTGCACAGTAAGTGAATGCAAACTTCCCATTTCTGCTTTCTGCTTTTTACGCTCCTCCCGTGAGCCCCCTTCTAACATTGGCCGTTTTACTTTAGCCATTTCTTACGAACAGGACGCCTGCTGGGGGCGTCCGCGGGGTTTTGTGCCGTGTGGACATATGCCCACAGGCCTTGCGTTCCGGAGGCTAGGAGAAGCGCGTTTATTCGGAGCAGAGTTCTTCGGAGCTTGCGGCTGCTGGATCTCCCCCGTGCCAAACAGTGGAGACACACAAGGGAATCTACGAGATGAAGCCATCGTTCTTGAAGCCAACCCTTCTTTGCGATGCGCCAGCGAAGCGTTGTTAGCACAGCTCGTAGTTCAAGTACGTTGATGTGCTCTTTAGTGCCCCGCCATTGCCATCCGCAAATGGTCCTCCACTTCCATAAACCAGCAGGTAAACTGGCTCGAAGGCGATGATACCGGACAGGATCTTCACTTTGCGCCTGCAGGAGAACATCTTCTCCCTTCAGACTGGTCAGCCCTGCAATCTTCTGCACCAGTTGGGTGTCCAAAACCGGAGGTTCAGCTTTTCGCGGTGGTCGCATGAACGGTCGGAGGAGAAAACTCTGTAGGGTGCGTCCTCCGCCTGGGGCACACTGTTCTACCACCTCCCGAAGGCTCAGACGCGGACCTACGCCTAGAACCAAGGAGAGCTGAGTCAACAACCATGCTACCACGAAGACGTTCCAGCTGTTTCCAACGAGGGTGAGCCGCTCATCTTGCCAAGCCTGTGTGTTCTGCTCTTGCTTCGGGTAGCATTGAACAGTGTAGCCACGTGGGAAACCCATCAGAACTTCTCGCTCTTCACAATTCAACAAGCGGGTGTTGCCATGTTTGTCTTGCGCTCGAAATTTATGAAGGTATTGGTATGGTGGGAAACGATGCAAGTCACTGCCCCAGTCCCTGAGCACCTCTTCTCCACATTGCTGAAGACCGGCAGGGCGTCTGCCAGGAGTTAGGCTTGGCCGTGAGGTAGTGAATGTTGGATCAGGTTCATCGGAAACTTTCTCCCAGCCATCTGACAGGAAACGAGTACAGTCATAGTCTACCTCGAGGGTCACGGTCTGCAAAGTGCTCCAAGACTCTCCTGTCGCCGAGGAGATGGTTACCCCTTCACCAGGCACCAACTCCCAAGACGGCCAGAATAGACGAGGTCGCCGAGCTCCACAAAGGTGTACAGGATCTATCAGGAAAGGTGTGGACCCCACGGACTCGCTCATGATCCTACGGTCACTTTCATCCATGGAGGCGACTGATTCCATCAGCCTGTGCACCTGTGCCCACTTAAAATGCTTCCTGAGGAGAGAGTGGACGAAGTCAACATACTGGTCCAAGCAGCTTCGGTGGTCTCGCAGAGCCCCTCTGCGGTCGGCATTGAGGCCTGAAACGCCTTGACAAGGCGGCCCGGCCCCCAAGACCACCAAGGCCACTTGTGAAAACTGGCATGCCCAAGACTGTACCATGTCCTCATCCACCAGCTCAACGTCTTCAACGAATAATGTTTGCGGAAAATGGCTTTCGACCACTCGCCTTGCGGGCCCATGCTTTTCGACACTAATGTGGCCGATTACCGGCAATCCGATCACGTCCGCAGCTACCCGTAAGGCTCCCAACCCGTCGAACAACCCGATTGTGAGCACTTGAGGAAGGTCGCTGGGTTCAACCACGTCTCCACGCACTTCACAGTTGGCGGCCATACATCCCAACGGGGTCAATCTGGACGAAGCGGTGATTCCTCCTCCTGTAGTTGATGCATCACTGGCTGTGACGGTAGGTGAGAACGGCAGCCGAAAGTCCATCCGAGCCAGCGGTACCAGGAGACAGAACCGCGCTATCTCCCGTCGGACCGGTTGAGGCAGGGGTCTAAAGTGGGGCCCTTGCCCGTCGAAACTTTGGATGAACTCCCAAATTGCATTGAGCGTGCCCAGCAGTGCCCGCCGAAACATGGCCATGTAGACCAACCCCCCGGCCACAATCTGCATTTGCTTCTGACTGCACCTGCCACTTTCCAAAAGTAGAAGACTAAGTTGCACGTAGCGCATGACTTTCTCGGGGCGCGGTCGCGCGGTCCCTTCTGTACCATCCACCAAGGCTCCCTGTACTTCAGCAGAGCTCTGTCGCTCCACCGCTTTCTTGGGGTGACGGGGTATGGCCATGTCTGTGTACATGCTTCGCAAACTATCCACTAAAGGAGCAGGGGTACCCTTGATTCTTTCTGCCAGATTGGAGTCTACTTTCTCGAGCTGGTCGAAGTTGTCCAAATAAATCCTATAAGAGGGGTTTGCACTAGTCAGCGGTCTATCTCTTCTCAGCTCCGCCTCCCAACCGTGCTGGAGGCCCTCCTTCCGAGCTTCTGCCAAAGCACTGCTGACCACTTGTCGGTGTATGTGCTGAGCTAATGCCACACTATTGCAAAAACCCATAGGTAGGACCAAGGAGGTAAGGTAGAATCTTTCTCGGTTGTGCGGGCATAGTCGGGCTGGCAGTGGTTTAGCGAAGGCCAAAAAGGGTTGCCATTCACGAGGTACCCGGAACAAATAAAAGAAACACCTCACATCTTCACTACTCACCAGGAGGGTCTCAGTGGGCTGGATGAAAAAGGAGCCCATGCTGGGCCAAGCAGGTAAAGTTGAAACGTCGCCTTCAATCCCCTTACACAGCTTATTAAGAGGCACCAGATTCATGATCAGCCGGTGAACCTCTCGGCCCTGCGCCGTTTCCTCCTTCAAAACGCCAAACATCCCGTTTAAAAGCGGGCGGCCTTGCACATGATGGATCTGGCTCTCCGCAATGGCTCCACAAATACCTCGCTGCATCAGACCCTCACACATGCAATCCCACTCCTCGTCCGCTATCATCACCTTCGGGGCCTTTGTGAAAACCTGGGACTCTTCGGGGACCAAGTATTGAGTGAAGTTCTGAACATAGTGCAAACATCCTCCACTTACAACTTGCTCCAAGTCCACTGTGCCTACTTCTTCTGGCAACGCAGGTGCCACATGCGCCCACGAGGTCCTCTGGGCGGTTTTGACCTCGTCTCCCTTGTAGTCCACGCTTCTCACTCGAAGGAAATCTTGCCACGACAGTTTCTCAAAATTTCCCGTCTTGCTCACGAACCTCTGGGCCTCTTCACTCAACTGAAAAAGAATACGTTCATGCAATGGTGAAACACGTTGGTTTAAGGGCGGACCACAATCATACACACTGTTGAGAGCCTTCACCATGCCTCTCAAAACCTCTCTCACCTCGGTCTCCAACACGTCAAACGGGGGCCCAGCTAGGGAGCTGCCGCAGGGAAGTGGAAACACCTCCCCCTTGGTCAAGGTCTTGCGAAGAAAAGGTGACAGGTCCCTGGTCAAGTCCCCCACGACGTCGACGAAACGAAAACCGCCCGCTCCCAACTCCTTTTTTCGCTCTTCAAGCGGACTGGTTGTAGGTTTGCCTTCAGAGGCGGCATCCTCATCCGGCACTGTACTGGCCAAAATGGCCTCCGAGGAGTGGTTATAGGGTCTCCCACTCCCATCCGGCATCTGCAACTGTAGTAGGTCATCTGTCTGCACTCTTGAGGTCTGTTCTGCCCCATGCGAAGCCAGTCTTGCCATCTCCTCGAGCTCTGCCTCAACCTCAGCCTCTGTCATGTATGGGGGAGGAGAATCTACTTCTCCTTCTCCCGTTCCCCCTTGTGTTTGTCCTTGCCTCCTCCTTTGTCCTTCTTGGTCTTCCCCTTTGCCTCCTCTTGTTTGCTCTTTGAACTGCCCTTGTCGCTCTTCCCCCATGTTCTTTGCGTGGCCTGTCGATTCTTCAACTCCTCTCGCAGCTCTTTGTTGGCCGTCTTGCTCTCCTCGACGCCTGCAAGTTGTACCCCCTCTTGGGGTGCCAGCTCCAACTTCTGTGACGCTGCCCATGACTGACCTCCTCCCAAGCTCTCGACCGACTTCAACCTCTGAAGGAGTATGTCTACCCCCAGCGCCACCTGCCCACTCAAAATGGCGTCCGTGGCTGCACATAGATTCAAGCTCTCTCTGCACAACGGCGGGGATAACCTCTGCGACAGAACTTGCTTGTGATACTGGAGGGCAATGCACGGTACCGGACCATCTTGAATCTCGATCGGCAAGCCTTGGTGCGTGAGCAGGGACCGGGACATGCTCGCTATGGTGTGAGCCGAAAGGGCGCCAGGCCCCTTCATTGCAGCCTTCCTGATCTTGTGCGTCTCCTCGAACAGGTGGGCCTCGTCTCCGCTGCTGGAACTCCCTTCCGTGCTGGTGCACGAGGAGTCCCCGCTGTCTTCCTTCGAGCGATGCTTCATGGCTCTTCGTGCACGCTTCAACACCTTCTTGCGGTTCTTGAGCTTGGGGTCGAGTCCTGTAAACTCGAAGACCTTTGCCAAATCCTTCTTTCCCTGCACCTTGAATGCCTTGCCCTTCTTCTTTTTCTTCTTCTTTTTTCCTTTTTTCTTTTTCTTTGATGAACTCGTGCTCGAACTGCTCAACTCTTCGGGGGCGGCTTCTCCTCCGGCTGCAGGCTCTCGACCCCCGCCTACTCCTTTCCCTCGTGCTTCTCTGTCTCTCCTGCTGGACTCTTCCGCCATCCTTCTGAGCGTCTCGCTCTCTGCCGCCTCCTTCAGGTTCTCGCCCCATGCGGGTGGGGCCACCTCCAACTTCCTCAACTTCTTCAAGTGTATGTAGTCGTCGGCCACCGGGCTGTACGTGCAAAGCGATGTGCATAGATGGGCCCGAAGACATCTGTCCTCCTGCCCTGATAGCCACTTGAGGAGGCCCTCGTCGGGCGTCCCCCCAGCTTGCAGTTTCAGCTCCAACTGGCCTCCCACCAAGGAGACTCCAATGACTTCACCTGCAACCTCCACTGGCCTGTCCCAATACGTGGCCTCCGCAAAGATCTTGGTGCCAGGTGTCAGCTCTCCCACTGTCACCCGATGCCCCTCCACCAGTCCTCCCCTTGAGAAGTCGGGCTCCTCAGGAGGTTCCGCTGCGGCTGGCCGAACTTGAACACGACGATCTCCACGAACTCTCACGTCTGCGGCTGGTCTTCTCTTGGGTGCCATTCACCTACCCCAGGTGCTCCTTTCGGTGGGCGAGGAAGGCCTTGAAACTCCTCTGTGTCTCCACCTTCTTCACCCCTTTGTTCTTCCAATCTGAGCCCCCGTAATAACCTCGTCCTCGACCGTAGTTTTGCCCTGACCAATAACCTCCACCTCCTCGCCCGGACGGTGGGGGATGAGACGGTGACCTCGGTCTCAACCTGGCAGGTGGGTCGTTGGTGGGACGCTGTGAGGGCTTTGGCTCACGCTTTGATGCTGATGAAGCTCCTCCCGGATTTCTGTGATGAACCTCTCTCTCAACTCCCTCTCTGCTAGGGCTTCGGCGTCTCCTCCTTCTCGATCGGCTCCTGGTTCTCCGCCTCCTCTTTTGGTTTTTCTCTGAGTGAGGAGTGGTCTCTCCTTCCCTCTCCCTTTCACTCTTCTTATGCTCGCCTGATGGTCTTCTCCCTGACTTCTTCTCCTCGTGAGGAGTGAGCTCTGCCTCAAACTCCCGTTCACTCTCCTCCAGCTCCTCCTCTGATTCCTTCTTGGCTTCTCTGCGGGGCAAAGGCGATCTCTCCGTCTTTCTTCGACCAGGCAAGCTCTTCGGGGCTGTACTGGGATGACTGTCCTTTTCCGACTGGTCTAAGCTCTCCTCTCTCTTATCGGGCAGATCTTCTTCCTCTTCTTCGTTCTTGACCTCTACAGTGCTCCTCTTCGATGACCTTTCTCTTTCGGGCTCTCGGGCGTGCTCCTCCTTGGCTTGTTCAGTTCCTGGTCCTCCTTGCCCTTGAACTCCCTGAGACTCCCTTGCACCAGTCCCTGGGAGGAGTCCGGTCGCCGGTGATGCCGCACCAGCTCCCTGATCACGCCGTCGAGAGTCGATGAAGTCACACAACTCGCCCGCCGCCACTCTCAAACGGTCGGACGCGAATGCGATATACCCAGGCTCACGAGTGAAGTCCGCGATGTGGGCGCACAGCCGATGAAGCGTCAGGCAGACGCCACACCGGCACGCGGGCGAGTGCCCCCACATCAACCAACACCCTTTGAGCCGGAGCTAACGGGGGTGGACATGTCATGGACTTCTCCTTTATTTCCGGGGGCGTAAACCCATGTCACCAGCTTCGCATCTGGAAGGAAATGGTCGTTGGATGTCGTTGGCCATTCAAACCCCTCAAGGAAGGATAGCAAAGGTATAGCTGGGTCGAAAGAAGTTCTTTGTTGGAACTCGACATGACATGTTGTGAATGCTCTCGACATGCAAGGTACGCAATGTATATACATAGATCTGGGGGACAAATATATTGGATAACACCCTGCCAGTGGCACTTTACCATGGCCTACAACCAACTCAACTCTTTTTTGAGGTGTCGAATCTATGTCAAAGAACAACTCGTCCACATCGAAATGGCTTCGTCCCCAAAACGGGACTTACTTCAGTTCGGATTCGATCTATCTCGTTGGGGATGCCGTCTGAGGGCGGCCGTCCTGTTCCAAGGCGTCAGTCCGTCGTTCGAAGACGGACACGGGACACGGGACCACACGTTGAAGAACGAGTGGTCACTCTGTTCCCACTCAAACAAGCTGGATCCTTCCGTTTCACCGCTCCATCTACTGGGCACCGCTCGCGAATCATTCGAATTCCCACAACCTTGTGTAAGTAAGGTCGTGCCCAGCAAAAAGGCGTCTCTGTTCCAAACGCCCATTGGCCCATATTCGAACAGAAAAAGCCCAGGCGCTACACATCGTTCCCACTGATCTGCGAAGCCACAGGCGCTGATGAGGTCATTGTGAGTCTCCTGTCGATTGCAGAACATCCGTCTGCAACTTGGATCATCCGTCCTTCAGCCAGCTGAAGAGTCCATCGTTCCAAGCTACAACACGACTTAAGAAAGGAGATTCCTTGCACTGTAGTTCGGAGTTTATATCAAGTGGCAGGTGGTTTATCACAGTTCGATCAGCAGTCATCCGACGTGCCCGTTGTTCATTGTGGAGTCCCTTGACAGAAGGCAAACCAAGGATTGAATGTCTACAACAAGACCTGAATATATTTAAAAACAAAGAACATCCACCTCCTCAGGGCAAGCTTCACACAAAAGTTTAAAAGGAGGAACGAGCAATTCAACACCTCGCACCTCTAGGGAGTCATTAGTCAGTTGGACCAGATGGGTCAGTCATCTCAAGAAAAGGTTGAACAAGAAAATATTTGAAACCACCACCCCAAGTCCACTACTGACTGTATGCTGCGAATCGTGGCGATGCCTTCATCCTTCGACCTTCGACTTGACACTGGTCCCTTCGACTTTGTGCTTTGCCATCTTGACATATGACATATCTTGACTGGTCCCTCAAACCCTATCAGCATGTCCTATCATCTTTGAGCAAAGTTTCACCCCTGAACGGATTTGGAACACATCATCCCGAAAGACACCAAAACACGTGTTTGATCACTGCATCCAGTAACTCACCATAATGTGGCCACTTGGATTGCACCTGTTGGGATGCATGACCAAAGTTGTCAAGAAAGATTCCCAAGTCTAGAGCAGCGTACCCAACCGAACCAACACCATTGCCTTGCAAGTCCCCTCTTTTGTGAACAGGGGACCTCCAGTCCCTCGCACCATTTGGGGACCTCAAACGAGTCATCCAAACTAATGTCGACTCTTGATGAATAACCCCCCACATGTTGATTGAAACCACACCTTCATATGGGGTCACTTTATGAACCAGTCTACAACCCGCGGAACGGCTTTTTTCCGCGCAGTCTACCTCTCGCCTCCGGCGGGAACGGACTGCTCCTTGGGCAAGCGCGCCCGCGGACCCAGCTCGGCGCGCATGGCGTTCAGCGTCTCCAGAGCCAAATCCAGGTCATGGGAGCGGATCGAGGCCTGCTGCCGCTCATCCGAACCGCTCCGTACCCGGCGTACCGGCGTGGCTTACTTAGCGTTGGCTGACCGATCCGGGGCCTGGGGCGAGTCCGGATCGGTCTAGTGTATTTATTGTAGATGTACAATGATGTACAAATGGTACCAATATGTGCAGATGTATCATGGGCTGCTCTTACAGTAGCTTTTGGTTTCCGTCGTTCCGCTGGCTACAAGCGGCCAATAGCGGCCAGCGAACCCTGCCAAGTTTCAGTAACAGCGGCGTTTTGTTTCATGTTGTTTCTACATGTGCGACCCTGGGGCTCTTGGCAAATCTTGGCAAACCGTGACGGCACAAGAACAAACACAATTATCCAGCAACAATATCAGCAAAATGGTCAACACTAGACTATGCTAGGCCAGGCTGTATTATGATGTTTAGAAGATTATGCACCATTAACTCTGGCATCCCAGAACCCCCCGACTCGCTTCGGTGGCCCGAATCGCATTCCGCGAAATCGCACCCAGGGACCTCCACCAGGGCGGTGTAGCAACTCAAGTCCAGGCTAAGGCCGTGTTGTTTCATCTCCTGCCGTCGAGATTGAACAGAAAGAGGCCGGAAAGGACTATCGCGAAAAGCTGGTCAAACTCGCGCTTTTTGGACGAATGGTTTTGTAAATCATTGTATTCCTGATTGCTATATTATATTCCATGCATGTTCCTATATGACAGGGCTTGACACAAAGCACTATCTTATAGAACACTATTTGACTAATTTATAATACGATCGTATTAAATACATTTGGACACTTATACAGCCGGTGTTGGCACACACAGACACACACACCATTTGGAGTTTGGAACTACCCTGGTCATCTACTGTTGTCATTTGCCTTCGGTCGGTGACCTCCGATGGAAAAGCGACCAACAGTTTTCACAAAGAGAGAATTGCGATTCATTTGCTTGCATTTGCTGAAAGGAAGCGGAAAGAATCAAGAATCGTCCACCAGGAGGGGCGCAGGTCTTCCGAGCCCCTTGAGGGAACCTCCAAAATCACCCGTTGTTCCGCCCAAAAAACGCGGGATGCGGGCGGCCCCAGTGACTCGGGGGGGCAAACAACTCGGTATTTCTGTCGATCAGGATCCAGCCATTACGCGCCGACCCTGGCCAGCTGAAAAAGAAAACGGTTGGCCGGCTGACCGCTGGATCGCTTTTGGCCTTGTGTTCTTTTTTGTTGCGTGTTTGTCCCGCGCAGCACCACTCTACGTCTACCAAATCAACGTCAAATCAACCTTCTTCATCCCTTTGTCCCCGGTCTCGGAAGGCAAACCATTGGATCGCTTCACACCTGGAATTCACACATATTCACACCTCCTTCTGTTCCCTTTCATCACTTCTGTCTGGTGTTCGGAGTGACACCATCTCAAGGGACTGGAACACCCCGGTGAAGCCTCACAGAGTGGCCCGGTGAAGCCTCTCAGAGTTGGCCAACAAGACTAAAAAGACGGCTGTCACCTATAGTGACAGGTGGTTGTTTTGAAAAGGTCGGTCCTCCGGTCGGTCCTCCGAAGACTCATCGGGTGATGTTGATTATCCCCAAAAAAGATCCTTCTGTAATTGTCTGCGGGCTTCATCCCCCATTGGCGGCAGATGTCTATCAGTTCCCATGTTGGGGTTGCTTTGATTCGTTTTTCTCCAGTGGGTGGATGTGACAGGGGCAATCCGGACACCCCTCCAGTTCCAGCAACCAACTCCAGTTCCTCACTTGACCCCGTTGGAATCACATGGTACCGGGACGACCTCCACAGGCAAAATTGCCCTAAGAATCATTGGACCCGACCACTTCTGGAGGATTTTGACCCTGCATAGCAGGGGGTTGGACCCGAACCAAACCTTCACCTTTGAGGGTCCTTGATTCTTAAGGTGGTTCTAATTGGTCCCACTCTTCTTTTGCAAGTCCCTTTCGCAACACTTGGAAAGTTTGGACCGCTTCTCAATGGAGTCTACTGCACACGGAGTCTCCGGTGTCTCCTCCGCCGCCTTGAAAGCCTGCGCCAGTTTTCCGCGCTTCCCCAGGTTGCTGATGAGCCGCAGGAAGTGGCGCCTCTCCTCCACCTCTGGGCCCTGAGCAAAAGTGAAACATAAGAATAGGGACTGGAATGGGAGACAGAACTACACATGCTGTTGTGCTGCTGAAACACAGTTGACTCGTGCATATATCATCATATATGTGCATGTTTGTTGCGCTTTGTACAGAATTGAAACAGGACAGGTGCTCTTGCGAAATGTTTCCCCCACAAGTTTGTTCCGCCGCGCAAAACATGAAGCAAGAACACGGCGTTTCTTTTTCAAACAATGACTCGTCTGGCATCTCGTGGCCCAAACATCACCAAACGATGCAACAAATACGCGTGATCCTCGCGTTTGCGCGGTGTGGGGGGGTCCTTCTGCAGCTTCTCCACAGCTATAAGGTGCCCACTGTGCTCCTGGGATCGTCCAACGAGAAGACATACCGACATATCTAGGAGATTAGGGTATATCCCATTATACCTGGGTACAAATCACATAGGTCAAGGAAGGATCCTTCAGGATAATCTATATATATAGGATTAGAGATGTGCCTTAGGCTGGGGGGCTGGTGTAATCCTGGAATACTAGTATGTTAAGGTGTCAAGTGACATAAGGAATATAGTATGTTTTCAACATCCCATGTCATTCAAAGGTAGTATACCAGTAACAGTGGATGATTATGGTTACAGTAAGTTGCAGGCCTTTCTCAAAAATAGTGATAATTCTTTACCGACTGTTGCTGAGATTACTGGTAATGGGCTACACGGCCACACACATATCCCATGTAAGGAGTCCAAAGTCCGGTCTAAATCTTCGTGTCCAGATCTGTGGATGTTCGTGTCCAGATCTGGACAATCCTTCATGCAAAGCCTTGCACCAGCAATGGAATGATCTGGAGAAACCATCCTTGGGATCCCAAAGCGACTTTGCGAGAACAGCAACATAGTATAGATACGTCAAAGACTCGGATGCAACAGGCATATTTGCCGACCAATCAACTTACTGTAGTTGTCCCATGGATTCCATATAGTCTCTGGTATAAACATGTATTTTAACTGAATTGAAAAACAACAATACAGTAAGTACTGTAAATGGCACATCAACAATCCGCCTACATACCAGCCCATCAGGTTCTTCCAGTCCCAAATTCTCCAAATCCTGGCGGATTTCACCGACGGCCGAATGGAAGCCTTGCCCGCCGTCGACACAGCACTGGCGGCTTCACGCTTCGCCTCCGAGGTTCCAAGGTGCCGCTCTGCACGCTATGAGTCCACCATTTGTAGTCTGTGCCATCAGGACTTGCACTCGACGTCATGGCAGAAAACGCTGACTCCGTGCGACGGCGCGCCGAAGTGAAGGTGCGACGTGAGGAGGAGCACTGCGAGGAGCACTGCCGTGGCGAGCGAAGCGCGAAAGCGAGACGTTTTTGGAGGTGGGTTTGATCATTCTTGATTGCTCTAGACTCTACGATGCTCTGACTCTAAGTGATTCTTGGTGAACTCTGAATTGGGCTGAGACGGTGTGAATTCGGATGAATTCGGACTCCAAAACTCTGCCGGACCATGCATGGTTGCTAAAGTCGGGGAAGGATGAGATGCTTCCTTGGCGATCGTGTTCACTCTGTCCACTGTACTTGAAGCTTCTTGTTGAACATGTCCAACATGTCCAAACTCGATAGTGTTATATGTGTTCACTCTGTCCAACATGTCTGCAGCTGGGAGCAGCGGGTGGAGCCAAGCCTGCTTGAGTCTGCTGGCTTTGGAACAGTTGATGCTTCAACATCGCCGGCACTGCGAAGCAACTGACTCGCCCGAATTGGTAGACTCTGATTGCCTCGAATCTGATAGTCAAATCAACATCCCAAGTTGGTCTTAAATGTGCTGTCCAGGAAACCGGGAAAAAAAGGACACACAAACAAGTACAACAAGAAGGGGATTCATGCATAGGAAAAGTAAACATCACCCGAAGCAAAACCAGGTGATCCATCCAAGTGCCAATTTCCTAGCCGCCTCCAGAGCCTGCCCCAAACCCCACACCACACCCACCACGCACGCTCCAATCGCCTCCCGAGCGCGCTTGCGCTCCAGAGTCGACGTGGACTTTGCATCGTTCTGTAGGTCTTCCAGCAAGTAGCATCTGAGCAGCTCAGGGTTCTGGCAGGACCCACGCCTTGAGAAAAACAACAACAACAACAACAACATTGTCAACAAACACACCCCAAACATTGCTAGCTGTTCTGCAACTTGGTCTCGCCTTCAAGGTGGGAACCCTACAGTACTCCCTGAACAAATGATCCAAGCGGGGGGGAACATCTCACTTCTGGATTTCCATGGTCTATCGACTCCTGAGGTTCATTGGCACGGGGTCGTGACGGTCACCGGTCGCCTGTTCAAGTCCTCCTCCACGTAGCGGGTGTTTTGCTGAATCGCTGCCACGTTGGACAGGAGGACCTGCGTCGTGGGAGTCGTCTCTCCAGTGAAGGCATCGTCATGGGAGCTTTTTGATGTTTTTGGGCCCGATTGCTGTCATCTCTTCCGTGTTGGTTCCAAATCATTCATCTTCATGTCATATATTCATCTCTTCACATACACTGTCGCAAAACAAAAAAACATATATAAGCATTCACTGTCCCTATCTGTCCCTTCATGTTCATATCTCTAAAAATATATTCACATGATGTTCGTGACATGCAAAGACATGAACACACACTTAGACAAAGGTTCATCCAATTCCATAATCCACGCGGAAATGATTTTTTGGGAACGGAAAGGTGCAAAAGAAACTCCTAGAGACGGAGTGTGACACACACACACACTTCCTGACCATCGACGAGTCGTTCGCTCTTCATCTCTTTATCTCTCCACGACGAGTCGTTGGGAACGAACGGCCTCGGTCTCGAAGGACGGACGCTTCACCAGCGCAGGGTTCCTGCCGACACCGGAACGACACCGGTGGTTCTTCATCCGTTTTCGTGGCCTTTTGTTCCATGGGATTGGAGGGCGGAACATTCAGGTTAGGCGCAAAGTATCGATAGTTGGCACTTCTGTGGCAAGCATCCTCACGAATGTTCACCTCCTAGGCAGCCATCAACAGTGAGTATGAGTTCTGTACTAGATTCGACATTCCTTTTTTTGCACTCACAATCAGGGTGTTCTGAGTTCCATCCTACAAGTAGGGGTTCGGCTGAGTGTCCAATCCCCTTTCAGGCGTGAACAAGGCTTTGACAAGCCGCGAGCAAAACTCCCACGAGCAGCGACCTCCTGCCAGCACCTATAAAAATAGGCACCCACACAAATGACCATCTTCGAGGGCTTCCAGGTCGTTTAAAAGGATCACCGGGTTCAAAACATATACGTATCAGTCAGTTAGTCAGTCAGTCAGTCAGTGGTTTCAATCATCCCAAGTCAAAGTTGAACATTAATGACATATCTGAAACCATGACCCAAATCAGTATTAGTACATCACTATGTAGGAGTATACTTAATTTAGGGTACAAAGGCCATCAAAGGCCCTAAAATAACAGGAGCCATGGGCTTTTGAGGATCGCCAAACACCCCAGCCCGCCGTTGAGACCCAGCCCGCCTCGTTCGTTCTCCTGCGGCGGCGCGAACGAACGCGGATTCCGCCCAGTCGCGCGCCTCATGAAGTGCTTCGCCAGGTGCACTCCGTTGGTTTCATTGCCATGAGTGCCTTGCAGGCGTGCCCCCAACGAAGTTGGGCGTCGATCTCGATGCCCTCCCTCGGTGAGAAATGCAGCATTCTTCCAGATGCTTCCAGGATTCAGTGTGGTGCAGTTTCGCACATCAAAAAGGGGAGGCCAGTACAAGCATGTCCAATGTTCAACTGATGGTTCAAGGCTGTGGAGGTATACGCCGAGTAGAGGAAAACGAAACGGGCGGCGTCTTGGACCGCTGATCGTCCTGCGAATCAAATCCAGCACACCGCTCGGGCGGTGCGCTCTGAATACACAAGAGACCTCTCTTCAAGGGCGGGTGCTCGTTGATGCTGGTTCAGGGCTCCAAAGACAATCCACCAAAGACATCCAAAGACTCCCTTGAAAAGATATTGCAAACATCAACGATCTGTCGATGATAGAATCCTTCTTGCACCAGGGAAAGCATCAGCCCCTACTGAGCCCCAAGTGCTATAATGACTTGTCCGGCAATCCAAGTCTGGTGTGTTAAAACTGATGCCCCACAAACATCCCGAAACCATGGTGTGCCGCATCATGTGTGGTATACGAAACTCTGCATGTTGGGGTTCTGAAATTCTGGTGGTAATTACAGAGGACATCAACTAACATCACTGATCTCCAGGTTGACTTACACTGACCCTTCACTGGTCGGTCTAAAAATATAGAGGAACATCTCCACCCCCCCCAACTAAGGTACTCCCTTTGAATTGGTACATCGCCGGACCCTATCCACTTTCGGATCGTGGAACTGGGTTCTATGGGTTACATGACCCAGACACTCCATGTGTGCCATATACGCCAATCAGTTGGGGTGGTTGTTTCAGGGGGTCAATGGGGCGGCAGTCCTATGGCAGTTCCAGACGGGTCGTGTCTGGGTTACATGATTGGAGCGGGACTTCACCGAAGAGCGAAACAACTCGCGCCTCCCACGATCGCCACCGTCTTCACACTCGAGGAAGGTAAGGTACGCCGCCGCTTCCAATTCATGGCAGCGGACGGTTACTGGGGGGCGAGTGGATCTGCTTGGAACGACGTGACTGCGATCTGAAGGAGCTGGGAGAGCTGGGACTTGGGACTTGGGTCCGCAGCTGGGAATCCCCCACGAATCCCCCACGATGGTCCTGAAATCCGGTACGGAAATACTTTGTGTTGGACCATTCCCAGTTTACGTAATTGGGATGTTCCAACTCAATCCTGTGGGACCTCAACTGTTCGTCTGGTCGTGGGGACCCGAACCATGAACCACGACAGATCGGTCGATCGAGGGCCTCGGTCGTAAGGATTCGGTGGACGGAGCGGTCGGCCAGAGGGTCGCAAAGCCTAGTGTGGCGACCCGGGTCGCGTAGATTGGATGAACTAGAAACAACATGAAACAAACATATCACATATGTTCATGTTGTTAACCAATAAGAGAATCCTCAAGACGTATCAAGAAGTATACGATCCTCACAGGTTCTCATCTACCACTGGACATCTCCGGTTGGAAGCGCAGTGATTCTGTGGCTCCGACTCGAGCAAGCTGGAGGCGGCAGTGAGTTCCACTCCGTTGTACAAAGAGGAAAGGGTTTGTGAATTCTGTCGCCATGTATTATTGTGTCTTACCAATTTAAACCGTAACAGTCATTTAAAAGGGTCTATTACATAACTCTATAGTATGTATTGGTAAAACCCAACCCATGTAGTATTCAAAAACTAGATTATTTGAATTGGCAAAAACAGGGTAGCGCTGCTGAGGAATGGTCGTGACAGAACTGCTTGCTGTTGGCAAAAATCTTCCCAACAAGTCTCTACGCTTGTGTCACGCTCCCTCTGCACTCTTGGCATGTCTGGGTGGCTTTTCTCATTATAACTCTAAATCAAAACCGTCCATGAAGGGCTGGTTGACGGTTTGGGTTCTGGGCTTTAAGTTGCGCCAAGAACTTTGACAACAACCATTGAACCAACAAAAATGATATATATAATATATAAATAATATATAATGATTATGTGCAACTTCGCGAGAAAACTACGCAACAACGTGCCTCAGGGCGTATCGTGTGAACCATGTTGCCCTTTCACGCACTTGTCCCCAGTGAACAGGACCTGGTCTTAGTAATATATGTGTATGCTATTTCTATCTATTTCTTACAGCTTAGGATACTTATGGGTCCCAAAGCTTTGTTTTTTTCACCCGAACGCTTCTCCAAAAAGGCTTTTGTTCGGTCCGCGTCGGGTTCCCTGCGTGTTTCCAGGTCAAAAAGAGTCCCACAGCATGCCTGTGGCTTCAAAATCATCTACAACCCCGCAGGTCTTAGACTCCAAACCGTGCGAACATCGTGGCATCCGGGCACTCCTGGCATCTCCTAGCAGTGCAGTTTTCTCTTCAACTTGTGGTTCTGAACTGACATCCGGATGTATTTGAGAAAGAAAGAAACACACTTCCAGGCATTCCTTGGAGGGCACTGTGTGGAAAACCCGGAATCACACACATGTTTTCAGAAGTCTATCCCCCTCACTGGGGGAAGGTTCAGTCAAGGATCCGGATATTGTTAGGAAATTGATCCAAAAGAGAAAGGACCCGGATTGAAAAACACATCCCTTGTAGTTTATATGTTTTTTGAATATTTGGCAATCCCTTGCCAGTCCAAAATCTCTGAGAATCTGTGATGTTCTGTGCTTTCATCGCCGTGTTCAGCCCTGGATATTCGGTGTTTTGTTGTTTCTGTTTTGTTTTCGTATGGAGGGGTGCCAGGAACCTTGACCTAAGTCCTGTACACTGTACACTGTAGATCACTGTAGGATACCTTGTTGATACCTAGCAATCTTGACTTGATAAAGTCTTTTCAATGAACTACAGTACATAATTCCTTGATTTCGTTTCCTCGAGCATCTTTGTGGCGGCCCGAGCCCCCAAGCCACCCTGCTGCTTCACAGGATCTTTTTCTTCCGCCGGCTCCGAGAGCGGCTGCTCCGGTGACTTCTGCTTCGGCTACAGCTGCGGCTTTGGTAGCGCTGCGCATGGGTCCGGCTGCTTGAGGAGCTGCGGCCTCTCGGAGCCAAAACACCATGGATCCATCTCAGGTGAGAAGAACCAGTCTAGACAAGCTTGTTCTGTGCTGGAAGAAACATAGCGAAACCCTAGCTGAAGAGTTGGGTTCATTGAAACTTACGCTCTGCGTTTGGGATTCTTTGGGGTCAAAGGTACCCAGCAACTGTCGACCCTGAAAATCACCAGCTTGTTCTTCGGGATTTCCACGGAGCTGTTGGTTAGAGACCACTTGGTTCGTGACCTCACTATGGTCCTTGAGTCCTTGACCAATCACTTTGACTTTGACCAACATCTAAACGCTTTGAAGCTCACATCCCTGATTCCATGCCGACTCTCTATCTTTGATCGATGTAAAAGGCAGTCCATTCTAATTGGGCGGGTTTTTGGCCACCCCACCGGTCATTCCAACGCTTCCTGAGGTCTCACACCGGCCTCTGAAAGTATCAACAAGTGAACATGACCGTCTTGGGACACTTTGAACAAGTTCCGAACCGGATGCATGCATAATCATGCATATCTGTAGTTTTTGGCCAGCACACCCTCCCCCATCCCTACATTGAAATCTATGGAACTCTCTTCTGGACAAACAGCGGCTCCACCAAGCACGGTGGATCCTCTCCGCGCCTTCCTTGGGCTCCTCTTCCAACTCGCGGCCCCGGCGCCGTCGGCGACGACGGCCTCGGCATCGGTTCGAAAGGCAGTTCCATAGAATGAGGTGCCAAACGAGCGGAGGGTTTTCGGGGTGCCCATATCCATCCCCGGACTGGTTGCCACTCAATTCCGACATGGAACTGGTGGAAATAGTTGCTGCTCACCATCGAGGCTTTTCGGGAGATTCTTCCATCTGCGCATAGAACGAACGTCCATTCGAAATGTTGGGACACATACTGCTCACACGAGGACAGGTCATGTGCCTGCACCTATAGACATTCTGCCCGCACCTCAAAACATTTTGGCCGAGCCACGGCCTCTTCGATTGGGGCTTCCACTCCGCCTAAGCCACGCGCGCGGAGGTGTAAAACAAACTGCAGCACCTATGAAATATGAGATCTATGAGATCTCCCTGTTGTGTGGAAGAGCAGTTCAACTGAAACACTTGGGAGAATATCCAACACCATGAGAAGAAGAGGTCTTATGTGCGAAAGAGGTGATGCAGTGCAGGAGTTCTTATAGTTCTTGCAGAAGTTTCGTAGTTCCTCAAACCATCTGTAGTTCCAAACTTTGCCAAACAAATGCTGGTTGTGTCGAAATCGGGGCCTGACCGCCATCCACATGATTGCATGATTCTTCCTACCCAAACACTCCATGTATGCCATATATGCCTACATTGACCCCTGAAACCACCCCAATGTAGGCGTATATGGCACACATGGAGTGTCTGGGCATTAGTCCAGGATCTTCACACTCCTTGGATCTTTTTCGGAGTGCGATCTCATGATGCCCTCGAATCACGCGGATTCGCGACCACTTGAATCGCTCCCCCACGCGTAGCGTAGCGTCACGCGGCATGAAGCATCACTGTATCATACTGTATCTGTATCCATCTCAAACAAGTGCAAGGATGTGCAAGCTCATGTGGGGAAGGGGGCCACCTCATGTCAAAATAAATCCCATGGAACCAGCGCGGCAACTCAAATGGTTCCCAATGTCCGTCCGACTTCTTCTGCTCTCTTCAGACTTTTATGCGACATGGTGGTCGTCCGAATCACGGAGGCCAAGACAAAAGGAGCAACTGGAGTGAAAACAGCAACACAGGGTGGATACCAAAGCAACCCTGGCAAAACAGAAGTCGCATTCAGCGCGGCGTTTTTGGTAGCATTCATCTCCTAAACTCAGGGAATATTGGCCTCCTTGAGGAGGTAAAAACGACCGAGGTCAAAGGGTCAGCCTCGTCTCCAGTCCCGTCAAGTCCCATCCCGTCGTAAAGCCTGCGCCGGAGGCGTTTCAGCTCGGCCCAAAAGCTTTGGAGATCCTCCTTCAGCTGCTGGCGTGCCTGGCGAAGTTCAGCGCGGAACAAAAACGGACTTTTGAGTTCAGCGCCAGCCAAAGAGGTTAGGTGACCTGAACTAGCACCCTACTGAGCTAGCTATGGGATAGTGGGTTCCTTAAACCAAAATTCCGACCTTCAGGCTACAACTAGCTACTCCAGTAACAAGGAGCATCACTACGAACGGAGCAAGAAGCTACTAGTAATGCCAAGCTACTAGTAGCTTCTGGCATTACTAGTAACAAATAGCTAGGGGTGGAATTGTCGGAATCTTTTGGAGCTCCCCCATCCCAGCCCATCTCCTACTCCGAGAAACTCGGTCTGGTTCCGGGTTCCGGGTTCCGGGACGCTCACGTGCACCCCAAAGGTTGAAGAACCCGACTTAGACAAGAGGATCCAGGATTCCAAGATCCTACAGACCCTATGACTGGACCCTCCAAACCCACCACAAACACCTTCTCAGTGAAGGTATGACTGGAGCCCTAGGGAGACATCTACATCCCAATGTCGGCTCCCTGATCGGTGCTCTGAACGTGCACCGACTGCCCCATGAGTGGGGTAGTGGTATCTGCCCCATGGTTTTTGGTATATTTTGCTTTGGTGTTCCACTCCATGCGGTAGCAGTCGACATGTGCTTTCTGTGTTCGCCACCTGGTTCAGGTATGTTCAGGTGAAGCATGACCAATTCAGGCTTCTACCAGTACTTCATGAACATACCTGAAGAAGGTAGGGAACCAGTACTTCAACCAGGACTGGTATGTACTTCTACGGAGGAGCTATGGCGAGAGCTTCGTGTTGAACGACGAGAAGAGTCCACCTTCGTTCTTGGGAGGGATTTTTGGTTGCCGAAAGCAGATCCAAACAGGCAAACATCCCATTTTTCACAAATCCCTGTCATATGGAGTATCTACAAGATATGTCTATTTCATCCTGTCATCCTGTCTTGCCCATCCCACCTGATGTTCAGCGCCGGCCCCGCAGGTCGCGCCTCGGCGCTGGGCCGGGCGCTCTTCACCTCCCTCAGGTCGCGCGGCGCACGACTGGAGTCCACGGCAGTGTAGCTGCGGCAGCCCTACGGTGAGCAGCGAAGGGCGACGCTGGGTCCGAATGGAGGTCTTTACCATGGACATACCAGGTAAAGAAAAACATACCATGTTTGAGGTTTTGCAGTGCGACTCTGGGGTTGTACTACCTTTTTGTGAACCATCTGTTATTATTCACATGTCAATTTGGCATCGTTTGTTGACGAAAGCGGGACTATGACCGTCGATCCATATAACTGATGTTCCTACTTCCAATTGTTTTGTTTGGAGAGAGTATCACTGCTTTAACTGGAGTATCACTGTTTTAACTGGTTCTTGTGCTTCGACATGCTCCGTACCAAAGTGTGGTGATGAGCAATGATAGCATGTTCATGCATATGCAGTAGGGCTCCTGTCGTACCTTCGTTTGGGTGGGACGACCGGGGCCCGGGTGCCAGGGTCGGGTCCAGCCATACCACCGCCGAGGTCACCGAGGTCACCGCAGTGTCGCGTCACCCGGGGCGAACGACCGGGAACCGGGCTGAAGAAGGAATTAGAGGAATCAAACACGCAGGGAAGCCTATATGGTTCCTATGGGGATGCATAAAATATGTATTATAGATCACATGAGCTCATATGTAAAATCATCTGTAACACACATTAAAAATGTCTAAATCGCGTAATACGCAATGTATACCGATTTGGTCCGACTCTAGCAAAACCAAGCACGAAGAGTGAGACTCAGCAAGACTGAGTCACCCGGAAATCGTCTTCTGCTGACTTCATGAGCCAGAATCAAGAACACAAAGGCCACACAGGGTTTTGATGATGCAGCTCCTCTTGGGTTTGCTTGAGGAAGCGTGAAAACCGCCGGCTTAGGGATTCATTTATCCAATCGGGCGGGTAAAATATGTAATAAATCACCCTAAGCATTTGTGCAGCTCCTAGGACTCCTACGTGATGGAAACGTCACGTTATGTTGCCTGGACTTGCATCAAGGACGCGAGCAGGCCCACAGGGAGCCTCCGAAGGCCATGTCCAAAACCGGAGCAAAGGGGGTTCAAGAGGCCAAGCAGGGCTAAATCTGTCCATTCTTCCCAAAGACGACTTGTCTGGGACTGGCATATGAATCCATGCATGTCAGGCTGGGCCAGAAGTCGGGTTCAACCTGGGGCGGCATATATATATAGATATACCGTATACCATTTTAATTACATGGAGTGTCTGGGATTGTTCATTGGGTTCATTGATGATGTGCGTTCGCCTCACAACATCTCACAGCCTCACCCGGTCATGCTGTAAACCCCGAGGAGCCATACAATTGTATACAGTATATATATAATATATACTATATAGTGGTATACCCTAGCGTTCCAAAACTGTTCCAAGTACCGCAAAAGTCTTAGCCGTCTTAGCCCTCCAAAAGCACTGTGAAGCAACACCCGACCCGCAAAAGGAGGTGGTTGGAGCTCATCACGCGTTTCTACCAGTGTTGCTGTCTCATCCTGTTCCGAGGATGCCTTGTGCGACTGTTCTATGTCTGTTCTATGTGGAAATAGCCGAACATCTTCAGCTCTCCTTGAGACACACAACTCAGAGAGCATACTTACTTTACTAATCGATGACTGTAGCCTTCTTCCTCGTTTGAGGCCGCCTCAACACATGGCTGTGGCTCGAAAGATAGGTGGCGAAAGGATGAAAAAGGAACACCAGGGCTTCAGTTTGGCTTAACCTCGCATTTATGAACAATCCCTCTGCCATCCTCGCCTGAAAGGAGATAAACCTTCTCCGAACAAACAAGTCTCCATAACTCTCGCAACACATGTTGGACTTCCACAACTCCGGGAAACCCAGACCAGCCGCCAATCTGGGACCCCACGACTCATCAACTGCCACGTCCTTTTCTTTGCTCATGGCACGTCACCCACGTCGTCCACGCACTACTAAGCCCGCAGTAGGATGGAAGCTAAGTCTGTTGTGGTCCACTGCGTTGATCACCATCATTCCACCCTCTTTAAGAGGCGAAGTAGGTCAGTAGGTCAATTGTGGGGTCTTTCTTGAAGAGGTGGTCTCAGACTTCAGCCAAATCTTTCAGAAACACATACTGCACTTATACTATACTCTACTTAGTATCCCAATGCTCATGGCAAACTCTTAGTTCCTTGAAGAGTCCAAAATCCTTCACATGGGATGGCCCTACGTGGACAAGGTTTTCCGATGCACAGGTCCCTAATTACGTGGACTGCTGCCATTTATCAATGCCTCGGATGTAACTTTTGCATGCCCTCATCAGCCAAGCTTGAACAGCCAGCAGCAGAGTGTTGAGCAAAAATCATAGAAATCCAAGTCCTACGGTCCTCCGCACTGCTCTAAGTTTTCTTCGCATGAAGGCCCCCATACAGTGTGTTTCATGGGTGTTGTTGTTTTGTTTAGGGTGATGTTTATGTTTCTTACAAGATCTATGAGTGAATCCCCTTCTGGGGAAGAAGACTTGGTTCCTCGGCTTCGCCCATCCTCCGGTGCTTTCTGGGTCGATGGTTGGCCGGTTTAGTCAGGACAATGACCATCTCTGAAAGAAACGCACAGCTCCGGTGTGATGGTCTCGTCCCCCTCAGAAAGCTCCTCAAAACAAGGACAGTTGCAATGGTCTTGGAGAAGGGCTTCAAGTATGAATTTCTGGGGGGGCCTACCTCCCGAGCCGAGATCGACGGAAGAAGCCGAGATCGACGGAAGAAAGAAGATCGAAGAAGTCGCATCTTTTGGATCCAGCCGCGCCCGAATCGTCTTGATCGTCCAGATTTCATCCTCCTGAGCGAGAGGAAGAGTCTAGAGGGTTCTGAAAGGTTTGCACATTCGACACAAGTTCGCTGTGCTCTCAAAGACTTCGCACTGGCGTCAAAAACCCACCCAAGCCCAGCATGTCAGGTTGCAGGTCAGATCGAAAACAAGATGGAGCCCACGAGCCCGAATGCAAGCACGTACTCAAAAGCAAGCGCCCAAACTTTGACACTCTCTTGTAGGACGCTCTTGTGGGGCACTCTTGTAGGACACTCTTGTCGGACAATTCTTGTGGGACACTCTGGCCAAACACTCTTCTGGCACACTCTTGTATGTCACTCTTGTGGGACACTCTTGTCGGGCATTCTTGCCGGACACTGTTGTGGGACACTCTTGTAGGACACTCTTTGAATCCTCTCACGTTTCCACACGTTTCCTCACTATTCCACACGAATCTGACACGTCATGAATCCATCCAAAACCCTCTCCAAAAGCTTCGCCCAACGTCAGCGCCATAGCGCTCCACCTGCGGACGGTTGCGAATGCTCAGACAACGAGTCGCTTGTTAAGGCTCTACCCCCAGACCCAGAGTTCAACGAGAACCCTTCGCTACGCATTCGGGAAAACACGTCGAGAAGGTGCGACATCTGCCGACGGCCACATGCCAAGCCCGCTGATGTTTGGAATTCTGTTTTGGCAACCCCTTGAATTCCCATTGCATGTCACGGTGAATCGGTGAATCCATGTGAATCCTGTAGGTCTCCAACAACAAATTTAATGGGAATCAATACAAAAAGGCAAGCAGCAAGTAGAAGCGAACTTGAAATCATTCACAACCTCCGTGAGACTTGAACCACTACTCTGGCCAAAGCCCAATTAACTTCAAAGCGGAGCCAACTTGAGGATTCAAGAAGGTCTGAGACCTGTATCTTGACTAATCCTGTCCACCTATTTAAAAAAAAATAAATGCGCCCCCCCCTATTATGAAAACCTCGGTCGGATTTTAATTAGGGGGTCCCTGAAATCGGGGTGGTCCAAAATAGGGTCACCTGGGAAGAGCTTCAAAACCAAAAAGTCACGCAGGAAATTGTTGCATAAAATTCGTTATTAAACTCGTATCAAAAATTCAAAAACCTCCAAATGGAAGGGTCTTCCCTTTTCCCCTACAAAATCCTCTATTGCATGGTTGCTTTTGGAACTATATTAAAATAAACTACACCCAACATCGACCATGTTCGTAGTTACTAAAAACCAAATTTAGGGTTTCGGACATTGTGTTTTCTATTTGGGGAGGCTTTTTAAAATAGGTACTCGGGATTATGTTTCAAAGCTCCGCATGTTTGGCAAACATACAAAACATGTGTATATATAATTATACAGTAATAACAAACACATTTAGTTGCACTATGCAATTGCGAGTGAACTGCGCAGGTTTAAAACATGTTAAAACATTGGTGCGTTGATACTTATTGTGTTGATCGTTCAACATTGGTCTGTATGCCAATCAAGCATCCAAGATCCGAAAAAACGACAGTAGAACAAAGATATTGCAACCACCTCATGTCCAGATCAATCACCTGATGTCCCAGTGGCGTCCCCCTCCCTGCCAGTGAGACCAACCGATCGAATGCTCCGGACTCCTCATTCGTCTCGGACGTTCTCCGTCTGAAGGCCCTTGAAGCTTTCCACTGGCACGTGCTGCACCAAGGTGAACATCTTCTCCTGGAGAAGGACCAAGGTCGACCCAAAGGCACCAAAAGCCCTTGGCCAGGAGAATTCTGGAACTTTCATTGGGCTGTGGCTCGTGGCACCAGGAGACTGGTTCCGGATTATTCCCTACCTGGTCTGTGGACCAGTCGTTCGCGGCAGATAGTGGACGACCATCAGGTGAACCACATGGTCTTTCACGACATTTCACCTCCATCATCAGTGGTGAAACCATCAGTTTGATGGCTTCACCTCCGACCAGGTTTGACCCGGGCCATCTCCATTTGGATTTGGGGTGGCTGCCAGGAGGGTCCAGTCGTGCCTTCTGAGAAGGTACTTACTTGGATCCCAAACGGGGAGCATGTGCAAACACCATCGTTCGCTTGTCTCCACGTTCCGTGCCGCCGGAGCTCGGAACGGGAGCGGTCGGGATATCTCGGGCAGAAGATGGTGAAAGTCCATCCTGTGTGGCTCAGGATGGAGTGGTTCTGAAATAAAGCCTGGCAGCCTGGCATGGTTCAGACCTGTTCGGAAGGAGGATGAAACATGGGAGGCTCAAAAGGGCCGAGAACACCCCGCTTCAAAGAGTTGGAAAAAGACACGGCGCGAAGATTCCCCCAAACAGCCGGGGAATTCCCTGGTACAAGGTGTACACTCCCGAGTCAACTAACATAGACCCTGACGTCCTGGCCCCCTGGAAGAGTGTTTTCCTCTACCAACCAGTGGTTTTCAGGGTCCATGGGATCGTCTTCCAAGGTGTATTTCAAAAACCAGTGCTTTTCCAGGGCTTGAACATAAGGATGTCAAAACCCCGGATGCTTTGGTTGACCAATATGCTTTGGTGACGGTCAAGCTATAGAAACCGATGGTGTTTGGGACTCCAGGTTTTGACCCGCTAAAACAGGTCCAAATCGGCCTTGGTATAGGGGGGTGAGCTTGAGATGCAAAACGATGTCCTTGCACCACGACATGTCTTGCGTTTTTGAAGGCCAGTGGTAGACTGGCTTTTGGAAGACTGCGTTGAATGTTGCGTGCTCAACAAATTCCTGACAATGGCCGGAGATAGTTCTACCGGATTCGCGGATTTGCCGTCTTCTTCCGTGAATCCTCCTGAGGTAGAAAGGTTGCACCAGGTGCTTCTAGGTACAAATGTTTCAGCCATGAAGGCAGTTGAGTCCATCTTAACACCTCAACTCAAACAAAATTTCCTCCAAAACAGTGTGTTTCAGCGGTGATATATTACTGATATATCAGACCTCATGTCACCATTGTCACCATATTACAGATTCGGACACATGTCTGACGGATGTTCATTTCTGCAAAAGAAACACTACCAGGACTAGGTGTCTATAAATAGCCTCGTAACGAGGTGATTCGGGGTATCCAAAAACCACCGGACTTGGAATGTCCGGGTAGAAGAACTTAACGGTTTTGAGATGCGAGATGAGTTGGGTTTTTAAGGCCAGGAGCTACTAGTAGCGTCCTTGCTCCTAGTAGCGATGGCCTCCAACCTAATTATATAATAGCAATGGCCTCCACCTAGTAGCGTCCTTGTTACGGTTTTAAACTGTTCTAAAGGTAGGTCCTGGTAGGTCCAAACTTGCACAGCTATGCACAGCTGGCTCCTTGGCATCCTCATCCTCATTGCGTTTTCGGGAAAGGCGCACGCGCACGCGCCGGGGCACGTTGCGCACGCCGTTGCTCCACAGGAACTTGTTCAGCTTGGTGTCCTTGGTTCGCACGGGGGCACGTGTCTGGGGCTGTTGCCAACATGGAAACCGCGAGAATCGAACAACACTAGCAGTTCCAAACGAGATGGGTTTTTAGATGTTTGTAGACCTGAGAGTGGATCATGGACGAATGGGTACTCGGGTACTCCTATCCTCCATGGATAGCACCCAACTCCATGGAACTGCTGAAAGGAGAAGGCCATGGCCATACCAGACCGATCGCGATGAACATCTATGGCCACAAACAAAGGTTGCAAGGTGTTGTAAAACAAAAGCATATCATAACATATCCATTGAGTCAATCCTCGTCTCGCCAACTCTTGGAAGAAATGGGAAAACATTGTCCACGAAACTTAAATAGATGGACCTCCCAGTTGCAGTGGTCACATTCAATGTGTGGGAAAACTGCGGGACCCCGCTTTACCACCCTGGTCTAACAATGAGCGGCTTACGGCTTGCGCTTATCTCACGTTTGCTAGTCACAAAAATCAATGAGTTCACACATGCACTTTGGTTCAGGTTCAACACTGTAATACACATATCAGCACACACACGCACGTGGGGTGGCAACCGTGATCTCCGAAGATGCATTCACTGGTTCGGTGTCAACCGACAGGTACCATGGTTTTTCTGCAGATCTCACGGATCTCAGATCTATTGGGGTCGTATTACCCCGACATTCAGATCTATTGGGGTCGTATTACCCCGACATCCTGAGATGATCGCCGACCTGGTCTCGAATCATTAGTGTTGACCCAGGCGCGATGCGAATATCGCTGGTGAGCATCACCTTGCTCGCAAATTGTCGGACCTTAGGAACATCGGCACGCAGCAGCTGCGTACACAGCATGCAGCATACGCATCCGGTTGTGAGTTCAAAACCCCAAATCCAGAGAATGCAGCCACGGTAGATCTCCGTTGTATAGTGGCAAGCAAAAACCACGTCAAACATGTTCAGTATGTTCATGTATGTTCTATGCTCAACCAGGTCATATATTATGGGCTGTGGGTCAAAACCTGGGAACCAGGGTTGACCACCGAAAATGAACAGAATGGCCTACCAGGGAGGTGAAGCGCACGGAAATTGGGGCTCTAGGTTTTGACCCACAAGCTTATGTATATATGTGTGTGTTGTTTCATGTTTCTTTGGTCCCACGCGCGCAGGCTCAACGGCTCCTTAGCTCTTCGGCTCGTGTCCATCCGGGTGCCCCGCACCACACGGACCGCCCTTGCGGCTCGCTTCTTGAAGGCGACCTTCTGCATGTGCTTGTGCCTCGGTGACGGCGACTGACCTCCCCGGAGATGCTGAGGAGATGCTAGGAGGAGCAAGGATGCTACTAGGGGCTCCTGGCATCGCTACTAGGAGCATTCTTAGGAGCGAAGTACAACTCTTGTCGCTCGCTACCCAAATCAAGTCGACGGAGATGTCGACGAGCGGTCATTTTTTCAGGATGGACCAAGGGAATTCCCCCTTTTGGTAGCTTGAACAATGCCATCATTGGAGAGGACTGAGGATTATGGAGACTTCACTTCAGCGATCGACAGTGGCGTTTGCATCTGACCTGGCTTTCTTTGGATCAAAACCACCAGACCGACGAACACGTACGACCTACCGAGTGGCAGGTGGATCGTGCAGTCACGAGTGACCGGCTCCTGCCACCGCGTTTAGCGCAACGAAGGAAAGACGGTGTCCTCAACAAAGCGGTATGGGCCTATGGGTTTGGCCCGGTTTGCTTCTATATCATCTAAGATACTTATAGATACTTATAGTTGCAAAGACGTACTCAGTATACTAAGGACCTAGAAATGGAAGTCCTGCACCACCTGAATTGGAGAAGGCGTTTGTCCAATGGGGTAACAAAAAACATACTACACCCTGGTGGCGACGATCCCACGGACCCTGAGTACACCACGTCGGTTGGTAGAGGATTTCACACTGGGACCCCGGGGGCCAGGACGTCAGGGTCTATGTTAGTTGACTCGGGAGTGTATGCATGTCATTGGGTCCTTTGCGTTATTTGTTTGGCCCGAGGCCTACGACGCAAAGATGCTGCCACCTACGACGCAAGGTCAGTCGGCGTTGTCCACTCCTCTTTTGACAACTCTCTTGTGTGCTTGTCCCCAAGAATATGAACAAAATCAACAAGGACCAGGCGCATTCTTCCAGTAGACATGGAATGGAATCTCTGTAGGTGGACATAAATAACCCCCGCTGTATATTTGGGACACCCACCGTGCCAACATACTTAATAATTGGGTGGAATGGGATGTGTAAAACATTGTGAAACCAATCAACTTACGAAAACTTACGGGTCCATCTCGAACTCTTGCTTTGTCTCTCTTAAACATAATTCAAAGAAACCTCAGGCGGAGGGGACATATACAGATTACAACGAAGTTAAAAGAAAAGCACCTCAGAAACTGAGCAACACCCTTACCATCACCACGAAAGGGGAGGTAATTGGATGGAAAATACATAGTCAGGGGTGTCCATAAACCACCCTGCCCTTTGTGCTGTTAGATATCCATCAAGCGTGGCTAAGGCGCCACTTGGACCCTTCCTACTCCGGAGACTCCGGAGCGCTCCGAGAGACGAGCCACGGTCCAGGTCTCTGTCTCGTCTGTCTCGTCTGTCGAAAACCACTTCGAAGGTCCATCCTTCAACTCCGCAGCCCCGTGGGGTCCTTGGAGCTTCCGCCCTTCTTCGTGGTGGTCTTCTTCCCCATGGGCGGCGAGCTTGCTCGGGGTCGTCTTCTTCACACGTCGGGCTTGAGGTTTGGAGCGAAAAGAGGGCCAACGGCGCGGTGGAGCAAAACAACATGCGGTGATGAGACACGCAAACACCTAGACATGAAAACAGAATGAAAGGTGTCTCACTGAAATACCAAAAGACACCAACCTTCAAGACACCCAAAGAAGTGCTATCTATTAAAAATATATATATATATATATGTTTTTCCCATAGTGCTGGAAATTAACATGTCTGTAAGATTCTGTAAGAAGATCCAAACTTAGATCGATTTGATGGTTGCACTGCTGGCTGCCTTTTGCTCGTCCCTGCCTCTGCTCTGTTGGGTCCGTTGCTGCGTTCGGGCCGATTCTTTGTGCCCGTTCCGCACAGCTGACCAGAAAAACGAGCACCGATCTCCACAAGTGACTGGGTTTACGATGGAGGAGCCAGTCAAGCTGGACATGCGCTGCATGGACTTGCAACCTGCATCAACCTATACTAGTATTGGGTAAGTCTTCAGTCTTCAGTCGTCCAACAAACAAGACCTCGTCGACCTCGTCGAACACCTCCGCAAAAGGGACAGGCCTCGTGGCCGACATCGACGCCTCGTGCATCGGTTCGGAACGTTGGGCCGAGAGCGTCTCAGCAGTCACATCGACCGGTGAGTGGCAGGAAGTGGCGGCCAAACGGTGGCAGTCAGTGGGTGGGTCATGTTGGTCGCACTGACTGCCTGCATGTTGGAAGTTGGTGGGCATCCTGCACCAGCCAGTGATTGCCATGGACAAATTGAAAACCACCTACCACTTGCCAATACCCCCTATCGTTCACAGCGATGTGACGGATGACGAAGTATGGCGATGCTCATCACATCCAGAAGACGTTCATCACCTGGCGCTCATCATGGAGGGGGAAGCGACCCCTGTTGTTGCTTTTGGTAGGGCTATAGCCATGGCATGCCATGCAGCATGGCTATAGCAAAACATAGCAACCAAATCGGTGACCTTCGGGAGCCCGGGTCCAACATCGATCTAACCCAAACACTCCAGTCCGGACTGGTCATGTTTACATGTCTGTCCTTTACATGGACCCCTGAAACCACCCGGAGCCATGTGGCGTGGCTGTGCGTCATGGTACCCCTGAAACGCCCCAAACACGCCGAACGACCCGGGTCAGGGCACTTCCGTGTGATGACTCGAACGAAACCATGGACCAGCTGGGCACTGAAGGGTCGGGTGTTTCGTCGCTGGTTGTTGTTCATCTGATAGCACCCCATAGATGAAGGATGTCTCACTCCGAAAAAATCCGAGCTGAGTACCTGCCGTCAACAGCACCGCGGGGTTGACGCGGTAACCACGCGCACCTTCGTTCACGCTCAGCCCAAGCAGACAACTCCTTAGCAAACGAGTTCGTTTGGATAGAGAGGCAAACAAAGGGGTATGGATATGTATGAATCACAAATGATCAAAATGATTAAAATGAATTCGTTGGATCAATTGAAAGCACTCACCCGCTTGACATCAAGCGGCTCTCTTTTGCATGCCACATCTTCTCTACCCAGCTCATCCGAGCTCGCTATACTGGATAACGACCCGAACGAGTCACCGTGACGGTGAGCAATCGGAGCTCAACTGGGGGACCTCCCAACCAATCGCTTTTGGTGTCTTACATCCTTCTTCCAGGAGACCTTCTGCATGGGGGTCTCCCCTTTTTTCTTAAATGCACACCTGAAAAAAGACCGGTGGATCTACTCTGAGTGTGTTCCACTCAGAATTGTTCCACGTCCTTCCTCTGAAGATCCAAGCATACAGGTGTTCTTCGGGTTGGACAGTAAAACCATGTAAAACCAAACCTAAAACACTCGCCCCTTCTTCGGCCAGACAGGCCTGTCCACGCAAGAAAGGTCGGGGCGAAGATCCACCAGTCCAAGCAGTACAAACAGTCAGAACAGTGTTTTGCACACAGGGTTTGGGGTGAGCTGAGACTTTGACTGTGCAACTGTGAGAAAACACAATATAGGAACTAGAAGGCCTATGACCACTTGGTCTTCACTCGTTTGCTCAAGATATGTGTTTCCTTCATGTCTGGATCACTTTGTGCTGGCTGATTGAGATTGGGCACACATGGCGGATTGTTAGTTATGCACATCCCCTACCTGTCTATCTGTCTTCAGATCTGCACTCCTTTAAACTGAGCTTGCCTTCCCTGTGTCCGAACAACACTTGGGAACCTAGATGAGTTATGCCGAAAGAACCATGCAAACCCCCGCGCTGCGCCTTGCCCTGCGCTGCGCCTTGCCCAAGGCTGAACAACAACACTCGTGACTCGCCAGGGCGCAGGGAGTTGGTCTGACAGCTCTTGGACCAGTTCTTTGGCGCTTCCGGTGAGAGGATGTCCTCGAGACGGGGCAGGGCAGGGCGGACGGGCAGCCCACGTTGCAACAGCCCACGGTTCGTGGGAAGGAGGACGGAGCGGCATAGGAGACTGACTAGGAGTACAAGCTCTTAGTCAACCTTTGGGAGAGTGGATGTCACATCTCTCAATTATGTTCTAGTCTCAAGATTAACTATTATTGATGTCTTCCTTCATCATCTGAAACAGAGGTCTCACCTGCGGACCGGAGTACTCTATCTAGCATCTCTAGCCTGGGAATGCCAGCTCTTCTCTGTCTCTTTCCCTCTTCAGGTCTCCAAACCCTGTGTTTATTGGTGCTTCGGTGTGCTGGATCCACTGCAAAGATGGAACAAAGGGACTGCTGGAGTCCTTTTTCTTGGAGGTGGTACAGGATTTCTTCAGCAACCGGAAGCAGGAAGCCACGGATGATGGACTTGGATTTGCTTCAACCAGCACCAAACCTCTGGCCAGCAAGGGATTCGCTTGTGGGGAACATCTATAAATCACCTACGTACCCAGACGCGACCCTCGACCCTCCTAAGTAGGGGCCCAAGGCCTGTTTGGAGCGTCTGGGTACTAAGATGTACTAAGCAAAACTGCATGAAGCCTTTGTGGGCTAAGGCTATGGATCCCAGTCTGTCTCGCTTTGAAGACCTCATGTCTCTGAGACCACTTTCGGTCCACCCGCCTTCGCCCACGTGGGCCTTCAAGAGGCTTAAGGCCTCGCACCGGACACAACAGACTGTGTCGACCCGAAGGGAGTTGTAGCCTGTGGATGGGCAACTACATGTGTGAGACATGACAGATCAAAGCTTAGCCCAAGCACAGCAGGAGTTGAAATCCAATGAAACCAACGAATCTTAATATGCCCATTGTGTCATCCACAGGTACCCTGGGCTCCCGTTGCCCAGAAATACATCAAGTTGCCTGGGCTTACATCTACAAAGGTCGACCACATGAGCATGGCATGGAGAACTCACCCAAACTGCCGGTATCTGGATCCGATGTTCTTTCCGCATCGGGTAAGGCCCACACGGACGCTAGGTCTATGTCTCAAACGGATCCGACGATTAGAGGTCAGCTGAAAAGGAACAGCCTGTGATTTATAAACTGTCCGAGATGACTTGAGAAGAGCATATTGCACGATGTTTTCTGTTCGTTGCATCCTGTGCCTGCTTTCGGCCCAACATCCAAGAACGACTTCTGGCATCTTCTGGCCCTGTTGGTTGAGTGAGAAAGACACCAAGACCCAACCACCTGCCCCAGGCCCTACTGGTCCCTTCCGAATTTTCGGATGCTCTTCGCCTGACGGCTGTCGGCCGCTCGGGAGGTGTCTGTGGCAGGCAGTCGCACCTGTCGGCGCGAAGGAACATGCTGAAGGTCGGGAGGCTGCATCCAAACAACTTCAAAGGACAAACGAAATACACCCACACCCTGGAAAATGAACATGGCACCTGAAAACAACTGGGTTGTAGAGGAAACAGTCTTCCAAAGGCCCATTTTCAGGTTCCATGTTAATATTCCTGGTTGTAGTTTCACACATGGCGGGCGGTACCACCTCGTTTACGATCGAGTTTAAACAGCAAGGAACACTGCCATCGGTGGTGAGATGTGTTTTTTCGGGTTCCTCCCTCAATCCGTCCTGTCTCAGCTGGATGACCACGACATGGAAAGCGCACTGGCTGCCTGGACAGCCATGTTGAATCAATAATCAGTGAAGATGCTGTTCATGTTGTTCATATCAGGCCACGCATGCAGCTCATATTGGAGCGCCAGGCAGCATGCAAGTTTTGGTTTCCTACTCACATTCCTTTTGGTTGGACATATTGGGCTGTACCAAAAGGACTCACACTGAAATGCTGGATGAGATGTTTCCAGCAAGTCCATCATCGCCTGTCCCGTTTCGAAAGAAAAACCGCCGATTTCCACCAGGGGACCATGCGACTCGCCAAAAGCAAGACCCACGAGCACTGGGTTTCAGCTTCGTTTCAAGTTGGTCTGGGGTGCCTGTGTGGTTCTCCATACCTGCACACTCCATGGGACTGGAACAATGTACAGTAGGGAATCTATGCTTACATTGACCACTTTTCAACCATCCCAATGTAAAACATATACATCTATACCATTGACCACTTCTCACCTATGGTCAAAAATCCATCCATGGAGTGCGATTTTCCATGTCAGTCCAGTGACTCAGCGACCTCCCCAGTGACGCCGAATGAACAGTCATTGATGACTCGGTGGGCTTCAAACTGACGACCTTCACCAGGGTTCCAAGGTTCCATGTTGATTTCCCGTGTCTCTCTAGAATCAACCTGTGAGATTCCATTGACATATGTGGGTGTGGGTCACACCCGGAGCCCGGAAATGACCGTTGGTAGGTTGACCATGTCTGGTAGTCTATTCTGTTCATTTGTCGTAGGAAAAACCAGGGTCACCCAGTTTTGACCCACAGCCATAATATGATACACACCCTAGGGATCCAGTCGTACCTTCGTTTCGGTTCGGTGGGACGACGGGGGCCCGGCTGCCATGTTCGGGTCCAGTCGTACCGAACTTGAGGAGGTACGACTGGATCCCAAACGGGAGACAGTATGTTGTAGGTGTTCACCGGGGGACCCTGTGATGTTCACCAGCACGCCCCTGCCGCGAGCTCTCGCACGCTCCATCGCCGCCTTGGCCAGGAGTGCCTGACCGGGTCGAAGGCTCTCCCAGCACCACCCAAAGGGTAGAAACATAAGCCCTCTGGCCCCTGGAAGTGTTTAGCAGCTTAGCATGCAATAAGCATCCTCTGGGTGGCGCTGGTCATAGATGTTTGTATGCTTACTACAAGCGAAGGCTTTCATCAAGTCACCTCAATGACAGTCATCATGATCCCCATGTGATTTGTGACTGACTAGGAAAAACATTATATGATCTCAAAAAACTCACATCAACATATTATATCATATTATGAACGTCCTCATGGCACATCTACATTCACAAACTAATGGGTTACTGCAAGGTCGAATGGTAGGCAAGACATGTAGAAAACGCAGCCCACCAATGCACACCAACTTAGGTTTTTGACCACACATAGTAAGAGTCTAAGGAATTATAGTGGCACAACGCATTCCTTGGTGTTTTGGTGCGGTGAGTAACATCTTCCTTCGATTGTCTGAAATCTCAATGGCATGTTTTACGATCTCCCACACACACACTGCCTCCAACGATCATGGAAGTGGAACGCAAGCTTCTGGAAGAATATGTCCCTGTTTTCCCATGCTTGTTGGAAGGAGGCTAGTTTTTTCATGATTCACCTCGCCAACGTACGGTCCGCGAGTTGATGGATGCTCAGGCTGTCTTCATCCTCATGGATTTCGCGTGTTTCAGCCGCACCATCCCAGGCTGACAGCATCCGCGACGTCCGACGTCCTGCGCTGCGAGCTCCATGAGACCCACCGACTGTGCCAGCTGCGCCGCGTGGAGCAGCAAGGCTGCCGCCTACGTGAGAAGTGGGTGCCCGGAAATGGGTCTTGAATGAATCAGCAGAGGGTGTGTGTGTGTGTGTGTCACACCCTGTTTCTAAGGGTCACCAACAGGTTTCTCATTCTAAGTGTGTGCTTAGCATGAAGAACATTGAGAATCGATAATGCATTGGACCGGTATTGGACATTCCTTCTGTAAAGCGGGAACAATTTCAGCAATCGTCAGCAATCGTACAAAGGGAGAATACCGACGCAGGCTGGCAATGCTTTTGGGAGCTCTTCTCCGAATCCTCTCTTCTTTGCTTTGTCTCTTAATGGGCTTTGATTTAATGGTTCTCATATTGTGTTTAACTATCTACTCTTGAAAAGTTATTCCACTTTTTTGTCAACGGTCCATACCCCCCGGCGTCTAATTAATTAACTATGCAAGTTTGTTTTTTTAGATATTCAGCAACTCACATGACCATTGGAATAACTATTTAAGTTACCCTGCATTTAATGTGCAATTATTCAGCAACTTGAAAATTGCAAACGAGTTATAGCAACATGCAACAGTAAAACAATTAGAAAAAAAAACCAACAACGCGACGGGCATGTCATAGGTCGGAATTATATAATCGTACTCAATGATGTTTGCTTACACTTACGGCACCTATCCCGATAGCGACCCTCAGCTAAATTTACATACAATAGACACAACATGACATAAGTGCTCAGTTCCAGCTCACAAATAACATGGATTATATACCTTCAGGAGAAATCGCTCATCTCCTTGCCAAGTGAACAACAATCGAGCCCAACCACCTTAACAATTCTTATATTTATAAAATATATATAGCTATTCCACAGCGCAGCTGTGCATATTCTTCCCCGCAAGGGTAAACCTGATTCATGCCTGAGACTTGTCCTGCGTAAGGGAGGACTGATTGAATTCATGGAACGGTCCATTGCCCTGTCAGTTGTTGGTTTTTCGGCACTCTGTCAGTCAGGTCTACTTCACGGAACATTCATCATGTTGGAGGGTCATGTCAGACTGAGTCTTATGATGTCTTACTGTATGTGTATTGGAGGTATTTTGTCATATTTTGTCCCCTCAAATCCTTGGAGATCGACTGTTGCGGTTTTCTGAGCATGGCTTGTGGTGGGTCAAGCGACTCCCTGTGCAAAAGTGGAGACTTCTCAAGTGTTCTCAGCTTCCCATCCTGGACAAGGTCTGGTGCGGTGTGTGCCTTTTCCATCTCTCTTAACCCCAACCACATGGTCACAGCAAAATACACAACGCACAACGCACGGCGCAAGAATCATCGGCCATCGACGTTGGGCTGTCGGCACTGGCCGACAGACGTTTGTCTAAAGCAATTTGCGTGCAAAGTCCTGTATATACGGAGGTGATCCAACTTCCAACCAAGTTCCTTTTGCTGAGGCTCCTATCGCCTGCCTTTCCAGGCACTCACGGACGACTCCCACAATACACGCGTGGGGTGGTGCCCTTTCCATCAACGGAAGGTGTGAGAAAGGAAACCGCCGACCTTCTCCTGCCAGGTCTTCCGCTCACCCGTCTGTGCCGCCTGGGGCTGGCTAGGTCGGTTTGATCTCCAGACTGGACAATCTAGTGAGCATGGAATAGGATGGACTCTGATACCTGTATTGCAGGGCAAAAGAAGAACACATCATGATTCTATATGATTCTGGTTGGAGGGGAGGGGAGCAGTGGGGCAGGATAGAGACGCCGGGGTGCCTTTTCCCGAAAGTGTTTTCAGAGACTCAGTGACTCTAACTATTGTTCTTGTATAGATTTGATGTCTGTGAGCTGCTACCCACCACATCGAACTCCAAGGATTCCAAAGCTTTCCGGGGCCCTGGAAGATGTGGAAAGCCGTGCGCCGTGCCAATGATGGCTTGTTCGTTCTCACCGAACGTGATGACAGGACTGTCCTTGTTCAGCCAGGACTGTCCATCCCACTCGGAACCTTCACACACGCAGCCAGGTCCCCGCACGCTGTTCTCGCCTCCCTTCTCTCGTCCAATCTGGAGAACAGAAACACAGCGTTTGGGTCGGGTGCCAGGTGAGATCGGCCTCCGACTCTTGCATTGTGCCAAAGCATCTGAAAACATCTGAAAACCAGACCTCTAACCTGGGCCTCCAATCCCACCGTTTTCCTTCATTGCGTAGAAGAACATGTTGCCATACAGTATGTTGCCCCATGGGATTGAACCCCCCCGAGAATCATGTTTGGCATGGCTTTTTCTTCGGAGAATCCTTTAACCGGGATCCTTCTGGGATCTTCGGAGGGACTCTGGGAGTCCATTATGCTGGACATCAGCAGAGTCAGGGCCTGTCATGCCATGATCCATGAACGACCGGAGAGAAGGAAATGGTCGCATGCCGCATGGGGTTTCCCCCACCGGTTCCAGATGAAAATGAAGGATGTGGCCCCTGGACGCAAAACAACAACATCATGAAATACATTGAACAACTCACATCGAGGTTTGGCAAACCCCCACACTCTCTGAGAGACCACTCTAGTGCCTACCGAGACCACAGACATCCACCAAGCATTTTCTTCCGGTGAACCTCTCTACATTCTTCTATCCGGGATACTTGTTCCTATTAGCTTCTTGATACTAGTAGTAAGGCCAGGAGCTACAGTACTAGTAATGTCCTTGCTCCTAGTAGCGATGCCCTTTGTTCCTATTAGCTTCTTCCTTCTCGTTCAGTGTTCAGCCTTTAAGACTTCACCCACTGCAGTGGTGTGGCTTTCAGCGGCTTCAGTGGACATGGGGAAAACAGTTTGGCAGGATATTATGTTCCAGCCATATCAAGCTATAACATCCCAATAACCAAACCGAAGAGAACCCCTAAGAACTTATCAACAAATAAACTAAGTCCATTTACAGCATCCATACTTCTCGTGTCTTCTCATCGTATTGGGTTCTCGGTCTCAGTCCAACCAAGCCACCAAGCAAGATTCGTCCAATTCCTCATGAGTTCCTCACCGGAAAGCCCTGCGAATAAAAAACATCATCGCAATCTGTCCAAAGTCCATATATGATGTGGAAACTCAGGGTTCAGGAAGTGATGAAAGCAACGATGACGACAATGACGACGACAACAACGACAGCAGCAGCAGCAGCAGCAGCCACAACAACGTCCAGCGGGGCCTTAGAGAAGAGCAACCCCGCAGAGTAGAGGCGCTCTGCTTCCTGGCAGATCGCTGAAGGCTCATCGCGCAGGACGGACCGCGGGTCCGCCGACTGGTCTCGTCGGTGGGATGTGGGAGGTGGGATGAATGTAAAGCTTGTTGCAGATCCTGGAACAACCCTCCCACGCATTTGTGTCACTGGTTGATGACGAAAGCGGCTGAACCAGACTTGTGGTAAGGGACGGCATGCCAAGGATTGCCATGTTGGTTCTATTGGACTGGTCATGGTAGGACGGCGTGCGTCCTTCAACAAACATACAACACCCAAATTGGTGCATTGGATCTGGTCGGTGGCTTCAAACTATCGATTGAATCCCGCCATGTAGGACCACATCCCTGCACAGCACTCACAGCACTCACTGCTGCTTGGTTTCCCCACGCGCTCCGCTGGAGCAGAAGCGATCCACTCCTGCAGTTCAGTTCGAAGCCGGGAAAATGGTCACATGACAATCCCTAAATGATGACCCATGAGACTGGCATATATGACTCCCGAAACAGGCACAGCATGGCACAGCGATGGTTGATTAACGAACATACCGAACACGTTCCGAAGGTTCCCCGAAGGACCATTGGACGCAATTGGAAGGTCCCAGGTACCAAGTTCAGGATGGAGAACACAAGTTAACAACAGTTCAGCACTCTCGGAGGCCGATAGATGAGAATAGTGTCAAACAGTTCGGTGGATCTTTAAGCGCAGCGCTTGTTGGGCCAAAAGAACAGAATCCCACGAGGACTGGAGGCGAAAGAAGCAACATCTGGACCATAGACAAGTGTGGAACTGGAGCAGACTATGGAGAATGTTATCTGCTCCATACCAACGAGGACTGGAGGCTTCTTACATGTTTGATCCATCACTTTGACAAGTGCGCGAAGCTGACGGGTGTCAGACATCAAGAACAGAAATGTCACGTACGTCTGGCAGAGCAACAAAAGAGAGGTTTTGAGGATGATGAGGACATTGCTACCGGTGCCAAGTTCATTTAGGATGTAGGTGGGTTGTCCCTCTTCTGAAATATCTCTCAAAGTCTCACCTGGTTGAGTCAACCCTGTCAAGGAGCCTCGCTCTTCCTCAAGCAGCTGGTGCTTCAAAGGGCTGGAGCTTGTGCAACATCACCAAACAATACCAAACAAACCTATGCATCGCAGCGTGCCGCGTGCCGAGAGGAACCACCATCATCCGTTTGTTGGGATGCAAAACGCATGTCTTTTTGTTTAAGCATGCCCACAGCACCAGTGGCCAGGTTGAGAATCGGCCGGCCTCCTCAGGAGTGCCAAAGCCTCTGACATTCTATGGGAGTTGATCTGACTGTGATGAAAGGAAACTTCCGGATCCTGACTTGTCACCAGAAAGCACTTCACATCATGTGTGCAAATTATGTACAATGTATATATCTTTTGATTTACCGCAGTTGTGAACATCATCAAATCAACGTCCGCACCTTTGAGCTTTCATCAGCTGCTCGATGCTTGCATGGGCGAGCAAGATTTCTCTTCCCAACACATCCTTCACGGTGCTACCTGTAAACATCCAATGGCATGAGCCCCTCCAATGGCTGCGACGCCCAATGGCTAACCTAACGCACAACCACATTAAATTTGGTGTAGTCAACTGGTAGGGAGAACTCAAAAGTATCATCATCATGTATACATGAAGAACGTGGGTCGAGGTTCCATGGTTTTCAATTTCACGATCTAACTCTCGCATGAGGAGAAGAATCCGCCGCCGAGAACGCAAAGCTTTGGGGCCCAGGTCTGCCCTCATCGGCGCCAGCTAGAAAGCGTCAGGATTCGAACGAAGGGTCTGGGCCGCGGCCGGGCCCATGGAGTCTCGGTGTAGCCGAAGAGAGTCTGTTTGTTATCTATTTGTCGTTGTTTTTTTGCTGGTCATCCTAAGGATGGTAGAATATGGCAAACTTCTCTTCCAAGTTCAACTTATGTATTGTTTCAGCATGGCTATATTATGCTATATTAGATCGTTTGAGGCTCATTTAGTGCTTCACTCAACACTCCATACTCAATCCCAAAGGCTCAAATGGATCACAGCAAACGGCACTCCTGGCTCTCCTCTGCACCACCAGGCGAAATAGGTCGACCAGAATCACGACTGTTGTTGCGACCCTGTCTTTGAATCTCTGCTCGACCTGCTGGTCCTTCCATCACAACTACTTGATAAAACTCATACTCTTGGCTCGGCTGAAACTCAAATGAATGGTTGTTTAGGCACGTGGATGCTCAGGAATGGCCGCTGGTGGATGGTCGCAATCCAGCTGTCACGGACGCCGATCCTTTTTCCTTGTGTGCGGCTGTTGTCGACGTCCCACTCCACCTTGATTTCGCTCGCCAAGGTGTTGACGACCAACAAATACATCCTCCTGGGATTTTGCGGCACTTGCACCGTCTCAGCGCCTTTTCCATTCCGCAAAGGAAGCACCACGGTCACTGCACCGGCCATTGCAAGAAATTGCAAAACACCTCCGCTCCAGTGTGCTCCAGTCCGGGAAATCGATCCAAAGAGCTGAGTCAAGATTTGATCAAGATTGGACCATTGGGCCCGTGGGGAATGGAAGTGGAGAAACTTCTGCATCGGCGAGGCCTCCTATCTTAGATCCTGTGATCAGGATAGCCTTGTTCGTATCTGGGTCGTTTAAGGGATCGCTTCTAGAGCCGAGCTTGGACAACATGGCCCTTGTCCCCAATGAGCACCCCTAAGTATTCAGCTCATACATCTGATTCGTGATCAACCACCCTTTGATCGAGCATCATGTGGTCATCGATCACATTAGCATGCTTGGAACCGGAACAAAAACTCTGCCCACGTGCTAGTCCTGCCTTCAGGCACCCGCGCGCGCGCGCGGCGTTGACACGGCGCAACTGCGGTCTCCTCCACCTTCTGGTTCAGCTCCTCAAAGCTCACTTGCTTTCGCAGCTGCAAGGCCTCCATCACCTCATCGAGCGAGGCGAGGCGAGGCGAGGCGAGACACAGCGAGACACCCCGTGACACCCGTCGGTGTGACGGTTGGTTCACTTGCAACGTCGGTCGGGGGGGGGTGCACGCTGAGGATCCTAAATAACAAAAAAAGTGTCTTTTTCAATTGACTCTACTGGCAAAGAAGTGCAGTTTCATGCTGTCAAAGATGGATCATGGCAGAAGACTGCAGATTCCAGGTTCTCTATCTCTTTCAAAGAATAGTGATACTAGTAGATGCCTTCAAAATCATTCAACCAGTTTCTTCAAAGTGACCTTTTGAAGGTTCCTTTTCGTGACCCTTTCTGTGACCGAACCAACCAGGTGATCAAGTTTGGTCACTTTGAAGAACTATGTAACATTTACAGAACTTGATGGGATTTAGATTGACCAGTCCGTCCCTTTCCAGCGAGAAGATACCTGAGAAGGGCCAGAATCACATGCGCCAGAATACCTGAGTCCCTCTTCAGATCTCATTCCAGGAGAAGTTGAGTCAAACATCGAAAAGTGATGCTCAGCGGCCACAAGTCAGCCTTTCCAACGGCGCGGCTTCCAGCCGAGATGCGATGCGACGACATCAACTCACGATTTCGCCGGTGTTCCGCGGTGTTCGGAAAAACAAAGAGAAAACCAACGCGGAAGGCTCTTAGACCAAGGGCCCACTTCTGCTCACTTCTGATTACAGTGCTTTCAGAGTAGAAGATGGCACGTCTGGGCCCCCAAGTTTGCTGGTGCAATTATGGGGGTCTATGTATAAATACCAAACCACCAATCGAACCTCTGAAACCACTGCAAAGTACGTTTCACTCTGATTGTTTCAGAGGTGCGCTGCCTTTGATGTTTTACCGCAGATCCACACCTCTGCATACATGTTCGCAGCATAGACCTCGAGCACGATGACCTGGTGGCGTCGAAGCCCGCACGAAGCAGCGTTTTGCCGGCCCCGACGAGCTTGGAAGGGGAATGCTGGAAAACCAAGACAAGAACATTGGTTGGATTGCTATATGTTACGAGTATGGTACTATACTTGGTTGATACCTCTTTTTTTGCTATATGGGGGTCACTAGAGTTTGCATGGTGCTGCACCCTTGTTTTCTTTTTGGTTATTCGACTATGGAACTCAACACGTTTCAACATGAATCAAACTGATCCAAAAAGGCTAAGAACGCCATCAGCACAGCTCCGACGATGTCCAGTGACTGTGGACATCTTGTTGTGTGATATCTTCTAGAGAAACACTATTAGTAATTTAATGAGCAATAATGAGCTATATTGAGTTATTATTTAATTAATCAGATTCAATGTGATTCAATAAGTAATTTTCTTGGGCCTCAGATTTCTCAAAGTGTTTAGATCTTCCGGTTGATGGCCTTTCGTGGTGTAGTCTCAACCTATGAAGATTACCTCGAACAACTGAACGAGGCGAATAGGGATTTTGCTCACCAGTTCAGATTGGAATGACAAGCTGACATTCTCGCCCTAAGGATCCAAGTACCCTCTGAGAAGGTGTTTGGGGTGGGTTTGGAGGGTCCAAGTACCTTTTGAGGAGGTACTTGGATCATCTTGGATCCCTAGGGTCGAGTATTTCCCCTGCTCCATCTTGGCCCAACATGAATTGTGTCTTCACCGAACGTGGATACCACCTTGGCCGCCAGAGCCGCCAGCTACCTCACTTTTCCTTTCCCTCTCCCCCCCCCCTACGGCTCTCCATCTACACGAAAACACCGGGCCCTGGTGGCGTTCGACTTCGCTTCACCGCGACCCGTGAAGCGAAGCATTCGTTCGCGCTGTGTGGCCCGTGCCGGCCAACGCGAGCTGGTGCCCTTGAAGAGCCCTGAGGTGCCATCCACGTCCAGCTCGCTGCCTCGTGCCACCGGGCGGCTGGCGGGTGGGTGGCTGAAGTTTGAGCACCTCCATTCTGAATAAAACAAACAAGCCAACAGAGGTGGATAGTGAGCTGAACTAGGACCTTACCACCCAGGGGCACCTATTATGGGATAGGTGTTAATTGGGGTTCTGAACAAACCTCTGTTGGAGAATTCACGAAACTGCGCCCTGGGCCATGACCCCCCAAAAAGATCTCCAAAATGTAGAAATTCTAAAAGCTGAACATGAAAGGACTCTCAGTACGTCGCAGCCTGTTTGGTGGAACAGTGGACCCCGGACCCCGCCCCAAAAGGATCTCCACCCGATTGGCTGAAAAAAGCCAGGAGCCAAGGGAACTCGTTCCCAGAAATGGAATTCACCCGCAAGAAAACAGAACAAATCCCCCAACTAGATGCCAAAAACTAGGATGCCCCACGCAGGTGCAACGTGGAACCGTACGTGGAAGTGGAAGCTTCCAAAAACGGCGTGGAACCACCATGGAGAACACGGCCGTTCCAGGCAGCGCGGGTGGAAGCTGGGCACTGGGCACTGCGCCAAATTGGACAAAACAAAAGGTCCCAACGAAGAACTGTTCATGAGCATTCCTTTCAATCCATAGAGGGCAGTTAATACTATTAGAGGGCAATATGGTGGCTTCGAGAAGCTTTATAACTTCTGTGCTGAAGGAAGCAAATTCCTTTCACTGCCTGGCTGCCTGCCAAACAGTACGGCAAACCATGGCAATCTCCGGTGTTGTGTTTCTGGTGACAGGTCTCTAAGTCTCACGAGTCTTTATCGTATGAAGACCACTACATCTGAAGTCTGATTGGTCTGCCTCTTCCCGGACGGTCATCTGGTGGCTTCGACCATCATGGGAGTTGATCTATACAGTTCTTCATCGCTTGACCAAAACATACCCAAACCTTCCCATCTTCACCAGGATCCACCCAGGATGAGACCATCTTGACCACGATCATTGCTATGATTGCTTGGTTTGCTTTTACCCTCCACCCTCCGGTCATCTCCTGTCTCCCGCCCAAGTTCTCCCAAATGCTGCCAAGCGGCTCACGGTGCGGGTGATGCGGCCGATGCGGAAGATGCTCTCCAGTGGAAAGAGTGAGTCATCCACATTGTGTCCACGCCTGAGTGGAAGAGTCCCAAGAAGACCCTTCCGTTGGACCATTGAAAACATTGTTAGTTGAGCAGCGTTTTTTGTCCAAACATTCCAAACTCCTTATGTAGTCCTTAATAGTCCTTAGTAAAGTTTTTGCTTTGCAAAACCCATTACATCAATGATCCCAGGGCAGTGAACCACCCGTTGCTGAGGAAAAGGGTGTTGGAGCAAAGCCAACTGCACATGCCTGGGTACTGTGCCTGGGTGTGTCTGGAGACCAAGCAACGAACAGTTGCATTATATACTATCATGGACAGCCAGTTAGAATTCAACATAAGGAATTAGGAATGTAGTTAGAATATGAAAATGTATCATATTCCAAGTGCTAATTTCTACCAGGTCCGCCTCAGTGAATTAGAACCTAATTCATGTTTTTCATTGATTTTATATGAGGGACGGTCAAAACTCCTTATTTTTTTTCAGCTAAAAAATGGACGTCATCGGTTTTGAGGTGGACCTTATCGTTTTACAGCGTTTTGAGTTCGTCGCATACTTATGACCATATACAGCGCTGGGGTTATCGGTTTTGAGGTGGACCTTATCGTTTTGCAGGGTTTTGTGCACAAACCTACCCCTCTTTACTAAAGTGGTCTTCGCATGTTTTGACCGTGGTTCATATGATTTTATATTCTAAGTGTATGTCCACCACTGTAGTTATATTGTTTCTGTTTCTCAGAAGTGAGTCACCCGATTTGCACACCCAATACCCTCCCAAATTGACCCAACAGTTCCCGTTTCTCTCAAGAAAGTCTGAGGCGCAGGCAAGGACATGTGTTTTGGGAAGCTGGGACACTTCTCATCTGGCCTCACCGATGCGACCAAGTCCAGGTCTCAAGGCGACTGCACCGGCCGGCATGGATCATGTAAACAGAAGACCTTTTCATTGAAAAACACGTGCCTTTTCATTGACATTGGGAGAGAGAGTGTGTGTGTGTGTCAACCCCTGGGCCAAGGGTTCACCCCCACCACAGTTCACAGGCAGGGGGGCACCTGAAGCAGAGATAGGGCAGGTGCCAACGAAGACACCTATCTCTTGCTTGTGACATCGACGGGAGACGTCCTGTCGACGTACCTGCTCTAACTTTTGAACAAGCTGTCACCCCACTCTTCCGCGTTTTGTTTCATGGTGGTTCACATGATACTCCCCCACAAACAGGTTTCTCTCAGCAGCCGTCCGCCGACTTGCGCCGCGCCACCCGAGCGACCGATCGTTCTGCAGACTTCACCAACAACTTGTTGAAACACCTACAAGTCTTTCGGACTCTTCACCATGCAGTTCTGTCACCTTCCTTCCCAGCGTGGTAACTGAGTTAACTGAATACAATTGTCAGAGTGTGTTTCGCTCAGCCGTCCCACTCGGGTGCTGAGTGTGATCCCCGTCATAGGGGCGCTGTCTCACCGTGCAAGCATTCACTGACTTCACCACTCACAGGAACTCCACCGGAAGTCACCTCCACATCCACCGAACTAACTGCCACCACGGCCGCCGGGGACTCCATAGCCGCCGGGCTTTAAAACGGTACTCCATCCGCAGGCCAGGTAGGTTTCCCAACCCTCCCCCCAGCCGAGTTCTACTCCCCACCTATTTAGGGCAACATAGGGAAATGGTACTCGACACACTTGTGTGTCGGTGCCTTTCCCTGTGTTGTTCCGGTTCTAGTCTTCTCTACCCGGGCGGTCTAAGACTAAAGTCCCGCTCCCTAACTACTGCACTTATTTATTTTCGGCTAAGTAATCAGTAACTCTAGAGTGCTAGGTAGTCAGACACACACATGTACACACACATGAACATACATCCCCTCCCTGCCCCCTCTTTTCTTCTTACGCTTTCCGTCGTTTGTTGGGCTTTCTCTCAGGCTTTTTAGGTTACTCTTCAGGCTCGTTTCCCTACCCCAGTCAAGGGCTAAGTATTCACCTTTTTTCTACACCTATCTTTCTTTCTTGCCCTCTTAGCGCTGCTCTTTCTGTCTTTCCTTTCTTTTGTTTCTAAGGCTTTTTAGGTGCCTATCTTACGTTTTATGCCAGAGAGCCGCAAAGCGGCGGAGTGTGTATCACACTCTGTACCTAAGAATTTTCCTTGTTTGATTCCAGCAGGGGCGCCGATCACGGCGATCTGTGTGTGTGTCAACCCCTGGGCCAAGGGTTCACCCCCACCACAGTTCACAGGCAGGGGGCACCTGAAGCAGAGATAGGGCAGGTGCCAACGAAGACACCTATCTCTTGCTTGTGACATCGACGGGAGACGTCCTGTCGACGTACCTGCTCTAACTTTTGAACAAGCTGTCACCCCACTCTTCCGCGTTTTGTTTCATGGCGGTTCACATGATACTCCCCCACAAACAGGTTTCTCTCAGCAGCCGTCCGCCGACTTGCGCCGCGCCACCCGAGCGACCGATCGTTCTGCAGACTTCACCAACAACTTGTTGAAACACCTACAAGTCTTTCGGACTCTTCACCATGCAGTTCTGTCACCTTCCTTCCCAGCGTGGTAACTGAGTTAACTGAATACAATTGTCAGAGTGTGGGATTGATATTCACGGAAAAAACAAAATAACCCCCTGTCCATCATCTGCCTGGAAATCCTTTCAACTACCAGTAATTACAAAAGGAACATGATGGTAGGGTTTCTCATCATCCACTCATCATGCCACAATCCATGAACGATTCATCACCCACAGTCACACGGTTTCCCCATCATCCACTTTGAGTCCAAAAACCAAAACCGGAGTCCCAACTGTTCAATGCGGACAGCGATGGAACATGCCTTCGTCTTCAGTGCGATCACCGGAAGACACCTGCATTTGCAGCTCCCAACCGGAAGAACAGCATTTTAGTCAGTCCCAAACACTCCATGCATGCCGTATATGCCGCCTCATTGATCCCCCAAAACCACCCCAACTGATCGGCATAAATGGCAGTCCCATGGAGTGTCTGGGAGTGATTTTTCATGATTTTTCCCAGTTTTCGGGTGATTCATTGCTTCACCCGCTCCGCAAAAAAGAGACGTCACCCGCTTCACCCGCCAAAAACCCTTCGACCACCGTGGCACACCCACCGTGACAGACTCTGCGGCCGGCGACCAGGGGTTCGCTGCCCGGCCGCCTGACGATGAGCAGCACGTTGCAGCGCGACTTCGCCAGGCGAGCGATCGCCTCGGTGTTTTGGACTCGAATCGATGATGTTTGGGGTCTTGGACGCGGGTCCGGGCCGGACCGAGCAAGGGTCTAGCAAGCCTAGCCACCGCTGACGCGTCTCTGCCGTCGCCAAGGTGCCATGTGTCTGGAAGAGAGGGCGCTAAAGAAGGAGCCGCCCCCTGGGCACGACCATGCGGAGATGGGGTGGGCACGGTGATAGAGTGACTGAAACCTTTTGGGCGTCCAACAGTCGGGTGCTGAGTGTCCACCAAAAGTCGGTCCTCACCTTCGGTGGTGAAAAGAGTCCCCTCAACAAGACATCAAGGTTACTGTCTTTACTCTTCGACTGTCGCGTCGAGGTATCATTTGCGTGGAAACAGTTTTGTGAAACACTTGCCGCTTGCCGCCGTTTCAAGATCCCCTTTGTCCTTCCGTCTAATATCTATTCTGTTTTGTTGGCTAGATTTCCTAGTTTCGCCCTAATGTGGTTCAGACCATTCGCGGAGCCTCGAAGGGCCCAGTCAAGGAATGTCATGGTTCAGAACCAGGTGAGTATCATAAGCTGCAAGAAGGTCTCAAATTTGTTTGAACTCCGAAGGCAACCCCACGTCGGTCTCGTCGGTCTAAAGAACCAACTGGGTGCGTCGCACCCAAGGAGAGCCAAAACGCCTGCTCCAAGCGTCCATTCTCCTGGGAAGCTGGGGACAAAAGCCCCACCCAGTCGCCCTGCTCGTCTTTGGAGAAATCCAGTCCAGCTGGGGACACCTTTCGGTTTGGAGGTTCGGAGTTATGAAGCCCGGTGACTTGAAATCAAATTGGGAAAGGCAAATGAGCAAATGTAAAATTGCATATAATTGTGAATGTGTAGTTGTGTTTATTTTCTATTATATTAACATGTAAATATCAAAAGAATAACGTATGACATGAGGCGATAAGCCCAATCAAACTTAGGTCAAAACTATGACCCTTCCAATGGAACACCCAGCTAGAAGTTGCTGATGATTGTGGCACTTGGTGAAGACTTGTTTGCTCTGGAATCATGGATACAAACAAGCATTTAACCACCTACAGTACGTGCTGTAGACTGTTGATTTCATAACATCCCGCCAATTAGATTGTAAAACAATGTAGATCCTCTTGATATCGATTCATCAACATCCAACATGAATCCTTCTATAGTAGAATGCTTGCAGTTAGCATAGCGACTATAATTAGTCATCCTGGACTAGATTCAGATAGAATATGGGAAACTAAAAAAACAACAGGAAACTGGTCATGTTTGGGATTGGTCAAAGTGTGTTTATATTCTATCTACTCCAGGACTCCAGGATGATTATAATACATTATAAGTCCAAACGCATCCTCCGTCAACAATTTTGGACTATAACTCTCAGATCCTATTAGAATTCGATTTTGGAATTCGTCAACATATGGGTGTGCACTTTTTTGAATATATTAAAATAGGGGAGACGTCCCAGGCGTTCCGACCCCCTGGAAGAAGAAGAATAGAGATAGTCGACCCAGCCAGGGCCAGGGGGTCTCCCTAATTATTGAAATACACAAACGTTAACATACACACAAACATTATATTTGATACAAGCATTAAAATACACAAATATATGTGTATATATATATTAAATATACAGTATATTACCCTATTAAAAGACACACACACCCATATTCTACAGATCCGATGAGACCGGTCGCAGTCCCTTCCCGTCCGCCTCCTTGGCTTCCAACTTCCGCTGGGCCACGTACCTGACAAAGTGAAGCGGCTGCCGTTTGAGCGGCAAGCGGCACAAATTGTTGACCACCAGAGAAAAAACATCAACTTGAATTGGAAATTCATGGAACTTCGCTGAATAGTAGACGGATGTTGGATGTATTTGGAATTCAACTGTGTTTTTTCATGCAAATCTTGGAATTCAGGTTTACATTCCACTGAGAGGTTTGCCAGCTTCGACCCAGGACGTTCGCTGCGGACGTTCGCTCTATCAGGGGTGTCTTCGATACCCACCCTCATCCAAAACCTATCTCCACCTGGCTATGGACCCGACCCTGGAGGTCCACCGGGCCCCGAAAGGCTCGGCTCGCTCCGCCACAGCCGGCCTGTCGACCAGCTTTTGAAGCCCCAGCATGGGCAACTGCAAGGGCCTGTACCTGTGGCGTTGGAAGAACTCTCTGTGAGGCATGTGACGCATGGGATTCAGGTTCGGGGAGCCATGCGATGAAGCGAAGTGGGAAACAGGTTGGAACCAAGCCAAATGGTCTTTAGAAGATAAACATGCGACATGTGTAATTGTGTACCAAAAAGCTTTCAGAGCAAAGGCAATATAGTTATAATTTATAAACAAGCTGTTTGTTGGAGTTTTGGCCACCTCCCCGTTTCCACCGTTTCTTGGATCCTCCTGGAAGCAGGTCACAAATCAGTAGCGGCCCTGAGATGTACAGCTAACCACGGTTTACAAGCAGTCGTGTTAAATGTCTTCGTTATTTAAATTGTACTTTAGTTTTTGGTATACAGTTTTGGTATAGTATAGGATCTACCAAGTTGTCTTAGATGTACTGTATATGGCGAGACTCTTACGGTCAACATCCTGAATTTGTCAGGTATGTTAGTGCGGATGCCTAGTTGGAGTCTTTCATGGTGGGCCTCATTCATGAAACTGCATGAACCCAGAAACACCTTCAGTATTTCTTAGGCGACACTCAGAAACTTGCTAGAGCGCATTTAGTTGGACAGTCGGACAGTCAGTAAACAACTCTGAGAGCTCAGCCTTCAAGAATCTTCCTTGGAGATGATCAAAAAATCAATAGAATTAATATGATCTGTTTGCATTTGTATACAATATTACAATATATTACAATATTGCAAAGTATTCCAGTGGTGCACCTACAACTTTTTAAGACTACCTGCATCATGAATCATCTGGAAATCCCTTCGCACCCCTGGTTGGGGGGCACGTGACGGCGGTGTGGTGAATGTTGGCCTCTTCAAACCAACAAAGCGCCGCTTGCACCAGCTGCATACACCTTACTACCGCGCATGGAAGGCGGCGCAAGGATTTGCACTACGTCGGCAGCGAATTCAAGCGCGTGCGGAATGTGCGGAACAGATGGAACAGCAACAGCCTGAGAGCTTCATGGGGCTGGACCGAGGAGAAAGTCAGCCTCAAGACACAAAAAATATGCCAAACATCGGTTAAACAAGATCTTCAGGAAAAATGTTGGATTTGGCACCGCACTGTTTTCAAAATCACATCAAGAGAAGATCAGTTGCTTTTTTGTGTGAACCAGTCAAGGTTAAAGCCGGGTTTCTCCATCTAAGTCAAAGTCTCTGGGAGTCTTTCCACTAGCATCATCCCTCCTTCAATTGTTTCTTTCTGTCGGGGTGTGCAATCGTGTCCAAAGTTACCAGTGGGAAACTTTCCGAAGGTCTTGAGCATTACTTCACACAATGGCCTCTTTCTGCCTTTTTGTGCCTTTGGTGTGTTCGATCATGAAATCGCGCGACTGGATCCTTTCCTGGTCTTGGTTCAGCACAGTCTCAGTGTGCGATGCATGAAGTAACATGTCTACCCCATTACCAGATGATGATAGGTCCAAGACTTCCAAGATTAGCACGGTTTAAGCTCGCGGTGCATCTCTCCCACTTCCTCTCCCTGGGCATTCCGCACGGTGCCAGGTTCTCCACCATCGGCGCCAGCTGACCCAGGGCTGCGCTGCACTCAGGCGTGGAGCCGGTGGCGCCGGCACCCGCCGCAGGGGTGGAGACCGCCTGTTCAAAGGATCGTTGTGAATCAAGGGGGTGTCACTGAGTGGTTGTGAAGTATGCCAGTGGTTGTGAAGTGCGTGACACATGAGAGAGATAGTACATGATGGTAGTATGCCAGCTACGTGGATGTACGTGGTACGTGCTGTGGTACATGTGAATGTTGAGAATTGATCGGTGATACCGGAGGATGCAGGAGGTATGTAGCTGAGAATGATGTATATCAGTTCACAGCTGTGGAGAAACACTATGCGTTGGGTACCCTGTATAACAAGTCTAAAATCAACAGCCCGAAGCTCGAAGCCAACAAACACAGTACAATACCACTCACGTACCATGCTAGCGGAGGAAAAGAGCGGCAAAGCCATGTCACACTAAATAGCACAGCCCCCACGTCGAGTTTGACGATAGAATATAGCAGCCCAACAAGGAAAGGCAGCATTAGATCCCAATGAACTTCCTAAAGGTACAGGAATCCTCCACATCGATAAATAATGATAAATCTGAGCATCACCTGCCCAGTCTGACCACTGGTCTGTCTCAGTTGGTCTATGGATTGACATCTGTATCTTCTCAGGCTGGGGTCTACTGATTTGGATGGTTCACCAACCAGGCATGGGTTGGAGCTGGGTTGGAGCCTATTGTTGTACCATGTACTTCTCCATCATCCCCTCCGGTCCACTCCAGGCCTCTGCTTGTGGCATGCTCTGCAAAGCGCTGGCCAACGCATCCATCAAGTGCCTTAGCCAAGCCTCACGCGTGTAGAGCCTCAGGTGGGCGGGGCGGGGATTTCCCGACGGCCAACCGTTGCACCCGTACCTCTTTCCTGGTTGGTGTGCCTCCTGAACCACTCTTGGTCTACATCCTACCTC